TATATAAGAAGATCCCTAATTATATATTTTGCAACTGAAAAGTATCCCAATTGATGACTGTTTCATTATCAGTTTTGTTCATCAGTCTCCTCTTGGCAGAGATTTAGGTTTGTGGGGAAGTTAGGGTTCCCATGGCCAGGATTCTCACTGAACTTATACCACCTGATGATGTAACTGGCATGTTGCTAGGCTACCGTTTCCACACCTTTAGGCAATAAACTATTATTGCACTATATAGAGAGCTCGGCCCAGTGCTCTGGGCGGAGGTAGAGATGCTAGTGCTCGACCTATTGCCGGTTGAACAAGCCGGGTAATAAACCCTTTCACCCCAAAGAACATTTTGGTGTCAATTTCTTTGGTCACATTGAATCCATAGCAAAGTTGCCTGGGTCTGAGACCCATTGGCAAGACAAGGTTATTTAAGATTCTTTTCTATTAAAAATAATGTTGCAATGAATAATCTTTTACATACATCCTCCTGCCCAGGTGCAGACTATCTAGGCTAATCCCTAGATTGGAAATGGGACTCAATTATGTCAAATAGCAAATGCATTTGTAACTGATAGATATAACTGGTATTAATAATAATAAGCATGGAACACTGTGGAGAAAGTGAAGGTTTTTATAGTCAGGAGTCTCAGCGGGCTCTGGTTGGCTTGCTCACTACACGGTAATATGTTGTTACTGACTCTGTATAAAGAGCTCCACTCAGTGCTCTGGGCTAGAAACCGAGATGGCTCTGGGGGCAGAGAAGCCCAGAGGCAGAGACAGCCTTGCTGTAGGCAGACTTGTTCTGAGTGGACAGGATTCTAGTAATTGACCTGTCACTGTGGGAATAAAGTTGATTATAAACCCTTTCACCCCAAGAATGTTCCATTGGCACTTTTCAGTATCATTGAATCCATAGTGAACTTGTCTGGGGTTGAAACCCCTTGGCAAGACAAGCACTCTCTGTGGAAACATTTTGTGCAGGTTACTTTTGGGTAAATGCAGAGATAAGTAAGGCTTCAACTCTTCTGTCCAGGAAAGGATAAGATATAAAAATAACAAATTTACAGGGTATATGGTGTTATTTGAGTCAGAGTGAAAAAGAGCTAGATTATAAACTCCATCAAGGGCAAGAGCCATGTCATCTTGTTACCTTCTATTTTGAGTACCTAGGGCAGGCCCAATGCTTAGCAGATGTTCAATAAATATTTGGACAAATTAATGAATAAGTGAATTCAGAGAATGGTCAATAAATCTTTGAAGCAATGAATGACTTCAGAGAGTGAATGATTTCTGCTGGGGTGACTAGTAACACGTTTATGAAAGGGGGTGATGCTTGGCTCATCTCTTGTATTTCACATATTACTCTGAAAAAATCACATCAGATTTTAAGTTTCTTCATAGTTATAACTTTCTTGTACAACTTTTTAATTTTCTCTGAATTTCTGCTTGCCTTTTTATTGATTAGAAGAGATAATTTCAACTCACAAGGAGTATGGAATTATACTTCTGGCTTATGAATCATGTAGTTTGTATAATTCTTAAAGATATTTTTCCAGAACTCTTTTGACTTTCAATTATAATTTAACTGATTGCTTTCCAGTTATACAGATATTATACTGAGGTTTCTTTTCATCACAGCTCTACTGTTTCTTATAGTCAATGACTTCCGGTCTTGCCAATGGGTTTCAGCCCTGGACAAGTTCGCTATGGATTCAATGTGAACAAAGAAAAAGACAGCAAAATATTCTTGGGGTGAAAGGGTTATATCCAACTTTATTTCCAGGTGGCAGGTCAATCACTAAAATCCCGTTCACTCAGAGCGAGTCTGCATGCAGCAAGCCGGTGTCTGCTTCTGGGCCCCTCTGTCTGCACAGTTGTCCTGCAGAGCCGCCCTCTGGGCCTCTGTCCTTGGGGCTGCCACCACTCCAGCCTCTGCTCTGCTCTCCTGCAGCCTTGCAGCCCTGCCACCGTGTTGTGCCCAGAGCACTGGGCGGAGCTCTTTTTATAGTCAACAGCCATGTACTGCCCACAGGTGTGCAGTGAGCTAGTCAACCAGGGCCAGGTGAGAATTCTGGCCACAGGAACTCTCATTTTATCCACACTTCCTCTTTCTGGATTTTTCACTTGTGCTCTAGTAATTTTTTTCCCCCAAAAGGGTGTGTGGGGAAAATTGAAGTTCCTGTGGATGGTATCTTCCTCTGAACCTAAACTACTTGATGATGTAACTGACCTACTGCAAGGCTACTGCTTCCACATTCACAGGCAATAAGCTATTATTGACTGAGTCATTATATAAAGAGCTCTGCCCAGAGCTCTGGGTGGAGGTAGAGAAGAAGGAGGATTATAGATTTGCAGACTATTGGATGCAGACATAATTCTAGTGCTTGACCTATCAAGCCAGATAATAAACCCTTTTACCCCAAGAACATTCCATTGTCTTTCCTCAGTCTCACTGAATCCATAGTGAACTTGCCTGGGGCCACTGGCAAGACCGAGGGTATGCTCAACTTTTACAGTACTAGTATGTTCAAAACAATCTTTACTTTGCTCTAATACATGAGGTGTTTTGACTGGTTATAAGATTTCAGATTTGAAATCATTTTCTCTACAATTTTGAAGACATTCTAGCATCATTTCTAGCAGCGTGTGTTGTAGATGAAAAACTTGATACCTATTCATTCTTTTCCTCCTTATTCTTTGAATAAATAAATTTCACTAGAATAGGTGGACATACCTATGTACCTACCTACCTACAGATATAGGCACGCAGAGATCAGTACTGGTATGGGTAGATAAAAAGAATCTTTATCTATGCTTTCACCAGAAAAGGCATGTATAAATGTGTGTGTGTCATTTCAGGTGGGTCTTTCAATTTAAAGACTTTAGTCTTTAGCTCAAGGACATCCTCCCCACTTCCTACATCTTTGATGCCTTTCTCTATTTTGTCCCCCCTCTTCTGGAAGTTCCATTTGACAAATATTAAATGTCTTGCATCTGTCCTCTCTGACTTAATTTTCCTCTGCATTTTCCACTTCTAAGTGGACCCAGAGTGACTTGCCGTGTTTGTCTGAAGGCCTCCTCTCCACACCCGCAGAGCTGCACATTCAAGATTTCCTCACAGGAAAAGGCTAGTTGTGGAACCAGACCTACACCACTCTGGAGGAAACTCATTGCAGCTATTTAAAATCAACTTCGTTTCCTGATGAAAACCCTTCAATTCCCTTCACGGGGGAAAGTGTCAAGAGGTGAGGCCAGATCATGAAAGGACTTGGTGCTAGAGACTTCTGGGGTTCACCCTACCTGGTTTTTTTCTCTTTCCTGGGCCCAGCAAGGACTGTACTTCCCAGCTCCCCATTGGACAAAGTCACCAATTTTGGGAAGTAACTATCTTTTAACCTTTCTAAATATGTTTGCTATTGAACTGGGATTCTTAGTTCTGATAAACACCAAAACTCAAAAACAAGAGGTCTTAAACTAACAACAAGCCAAATATATTTACGTAAATAGGTCCATTCTTTCTGAGGAACTTGCTTTCAGATGTGAATTTTTAAATAATAGATTTATCTATTTAAATGATTAGATTTATCATTAGTCTTATGTCATTGTTTTTAATCAATATTAAATCTTATAATATTTTGTTTCATTTTATTTATGTTTATGGTCACTATCATGCAAATGATACTATTTTCCCATTTATGATAGTGATGTAAAGTATTTTAAAATAATTATGCTGACATGGAAAAATGAGTGTATTTGAACAACCTCAAAATAATTTTACAAGTGGTGCAAGGATATGCTACAAATTAAGAAGTTGGTATTAGAATGGGAAACATAGCTTTACTCCAACCAACAAAAATCTCAAAATCACTTAAAACTTCAGTGCATCTTGTTTGAGTATTCTCACTTTGATTATAAACTTTGGTTGTATTCTTATTTGTTTAGCAAATTCTAAGCCTTGTGCTAGATATCTGCTTTACATTCCACTATTCCCTACCCATATACTGGTGCCAGATAAACACTCAGTAATTATTGATGATAAGTTGTTCCACATTTCCTCTATTGGACTCATTTCCTTTGCTGGCCTGTGCGTGTACAAAATAAGCTTTTCCATTTGAAAATATTTTCAAATACTTGTAATTACACTTAAAACTCCAGAAAATACAGCTGGAGAGTCCTTCCTCTCTCCCTTTTTAAAAAAGCATATCGAGACCCAACAACAGCACCCAAGTATATGCCTTTCAGAGGGCAGAACCCCAGCAGAGGAGAGTGGCTGCACTCAACTCGTAGCGTTAATTCTTTGCTGAGGGTCTCAAAGTTTTTCCATCTCCTTCCACTCCGTGGGGGAGGGGAAAGGGTTAAATTTGTATACTGATGGTGACCTATGATCATAATTCATATAGCTAATTTCATGTACTTTTGCCAATTCCATCGTGTCTCTAACGGTTTCGAGAAATCTTCCCTTCGGTAAACTGGTAGGGGCGGGGCGGGGGGAGACCCGAGGGCCGGGGACTCCAAAGTGAGGGCTGCTCAGGCAGGCCATTCAGGGTTGGTTCTCCATTAGAAGACGCCCCGCCAGCTGGCACCTGCAGCGAGCCCGCCCGCCCCACGCACTCAGAAGCCGGACCACCTTCTACAGGTGTGCGAATGCAGTGCTGGCGCCGTCTCGGCTTCCTGGGTTAAGAAACCCAGAGTACAGGACCTGACACCTAACAGCGAGCCAGCACCGCTCCGGTGTGGGTGGGAGAAAAGCACACACTGCGCTCATTAAGTAGCAGCGCCTCTGAGGGGCGGGGAATATGAACAAGCGACTCGAGCTCCTCCGCATGCCATTGGGCAGGAGGCTTGTTTAACATTCACGACGCTTCGTGATTCTACAGGGCACTCCTGAAGCTCGCGAGATGCAGGATCGGGCTTCAGAGGCGAACCCTCCTCTGACTGGTTGCCTTCGATTGGCTGATGTAAAGGCAGAAGCCATGTGGGCGGGGGATTTGAATACCCATTTTCGGTGTTTCAGGCAGCGTCGACGAGGAGCCCGGTCAGCGTCTCCAGGCCGCACTTCTCTCCCAGTGTGTAATTCCTTTGTTGTCTATACATTAGTGCTTTGCTAGTGTTACAACCATAAAGAACATACTGAGCACTGCACTCTTAGCTCGGGAGCTCCAATCCTCTCATTCTATAGATGGAGAAACTACTGCGGACTCAAAGCTCCGTGTCTGGCCTCCGCCCAGGTCTGGAGACGGCCCTCCGCTAAGGGGCGGGCCCGGGGCGCGGATCCTGAAGCCTCCTCCTTTCTCTTCTCTCCTCCTTCTCCCCGTCCCGGCCGCGGCACCCCCAAGAATCTCTTCTGCCTCCTCCCTGCAGGGCCAGGTTTGTGGCTTTAGAGGTCCGAGGCCGGCCTGCAGCATAGTCCAGCCCAACCCCGCTGTACACCTGGGGAGTCTGAGAACCGAAAGAGCAGTGTGGCCCGAGGTGACCCAGCCCGCGGTAGGGCCACGGCTAGACGCAAGTCTCCGAAGTTCCAAGATTGGAGTTTGCTCGTTTGTCTCCTGCTTGGTATCCTGCGTCAGCGTGGCAAGTTGAGATTGCCGCGTATCCGGCCGGCTAGCTCCCAGGCCGCAACCCTGTGTCTCCCGGCCGGGGAACTGCAGAAGTTGCGCCTGCGCTGAGCCTTCCTGCGAGGCTGCTTGGCGAAGGAACCCGCCCTTTTTGTCCGCGGGACGCGTCACTGGTTACCCTGGAGACTGCGCTTTGGGGACTGTTTACTTCTAAGTTCTGCAAGAGTTCCATTTGGGGCAAGGAGGCTCCCACCTTGACTTTGTGCAGTATTCTTTGTGGCGCTGAGGTAAGTAAACCCCGGCCCCACCCCACCATCCCTTCACTGCAGCCCTTGGCCCTACCGAGAGCCTTGTGCTCTTTGGGATCAGCCCTCATTTAGGTCTAATTCAGCCCTTATTTCGAGTTCTCTGGGGGCTACTCAGGAATTCCTTTCCTGGAATCTTGGGTTACATTTTGAGCCCCCTACTCATGCAAACTTGGGAGAAGCCATGGAGGGACTGCATAGGAGACCCCATGTTGTCTGAGGTGGCTGGAGGGTCTGTGGTGCTCACCTCGCCAAGGTCTGACTCCCGTTCCATCCTTGTATGTTTGAAGAACTTCTGAGATCTGGAACGCTTACGGCAGGCACTCAGAGCTTTGGGTGGGGATGTGGGTGGGGGCAGGTTTAGCCTTGCCTGAGGAAGCCGGTTCTTACAGTCAGAACCCTGTGCCGGTGAGGTGGGGAAACTTTCGTCTTTCTGTTGCTGCTGGCTTTCTCATGTTCTCCCTTTTCTTTGTCCTGGGAAGATTTTGTTTCTTTTATCTGCTGAACGGGCTTAATAACCCAGTTTTCAGCTTGTAGATGTCACATTTGTTCATTTTTTAGAAACCATGCCTGGGTTCATCTAATTGGCAGTATCTACTAAAAGTGAACACTGCCCCAGGACCCAGCAATTCTAAGGAGTCATACAATCTCATGTACATGTGCACCAAAAGACACATAGGAGTATATTTATAGCATTCTCATGGAAATTCTCCACACTGGAAACACAAATACCATAAATAGTAGAAAAGACAGATGAATTTTGGTATATTTGTACAATGGTATAACTGCACAGCAACAAGAATGAACAAACTACAAGTATATGAACAATAGGGATGAATCTTACCAATGTAATGCCAAGTGAAAGAAGTTAGATACAAAAGAGTACATAGTGTATGGTTTCATTTATAATAAGTTAAAAAATATCAAAACTAATTTATAGTTGTTCAAAGTCAGAATAGTGGTTGCCCTGGGTGGGTGGGTGGGGGTGAAGAGTAATGACTGGAAAGAGGCATGAGGGGCTGATAATGCTTATTTCTTCATCTGGGTGCTGTCTGCACAGATGTGTTCATTTTGTGTATAGATTATGATTTATGCGCTTTCTGGTATGTATGTCACACTTCAATAGAAATTGATATTTTAAAAAGGACAAATTGCTTTCAGTGAATCTAAAAAAAAGTCTGCCTTTGATCAGGACTTTGGAAACCTCAAATGGCCAAATTCCTACAACCTCCGCCCAAGTTCCTGCCCTCGGAATGGCACATTGCTAACAAGGAACAGTACCACAGAGCAGAGGCTCAGAGGTCCCGATCTGAGCGCCTGGTGGCAGAAAGCCAGAGGCTTGTGGACGAAATTGAAAAGAACACAAAAAAATCTCAAAGTGATGTGAACAAGAAACTAGGTAAGGCAAAGCACTTGGTTATATGCAAATTTTTTTGGGTGGGAAGCAAAAGCACTTGGTATATGTGTGAACATTTTTAGGTGGAAGTGTTAAGGTACAGCTCTACTGTCATTTGCATTTCTTGTTCAGGAGTGGCAATGTTAGGGAGAAACATGTTTTCTCCAGGTTCTCCTTTTAAGTTCACTGCCCTAAAATAGGGACACGGGTAACCCAGGCTAATTTTCAGTCATTCATCATTCATTCTTTTATTGATTTAATGTGCATTCCTTGAGCATCTAAGAGCCTCTGTGGACCAAGCACTGGGACCATCACAGGGAATGATCAGGGACTCCTGGATCGAGGAGGAAAGAGATACAAAAATTAATAATCAGAATATAACTAGTAAGAAGTAGGGGTGGATAGTCACTGGAGAATTGGGAAAGACTTCCTAGAGAAGAATACTGGAGCTGAGTCTTATAGGAAGAGGTATTTTATCTAGACAATTCCATTCTTAAAAACACTAAAGTGTGGTGCCCTTAAATAAGTGAAAGAAAAATAAATATGACATGAAACCGAAAAAAAACCTCTGAAATGCCCAAAACTGATAAACCAGAGGTCATACACTCAACTGTATTATCAGGGTTGGGCAGGTAACACAGGGCTTGACTAAGACCCCCTAAGACAATAGGGAGTGGTGGAAACTATGGGCACCTAGAGACCATGTGCTCCATCTAAGGAGGCAGCTGCTACTCAGTTTTAACCTATTTTTCCCAAGAAAGAGTATGGCCCAAGTATTGCTGATGGCCTGATTTTTTTTTGTTAAAGAAAATCTGAAAAACTAGATTTTTACCCATTTTTTAAATGTTGGCAACTAATTTAATATATTATAACACTGGGCAGGATGAACAAATACATTTATAGATAAAACCTAGACCAAGAGCTGCTAGTTTTTTAACTTTCAATAAACCAAAGCTTCCTCCATATCTGCAGTGTTAGATGTAGGGCTTCTGATGGGTTGATCTTACCCCTGACAGCAGTATATAGGCAGGCCTGTTTTAATAATTATGCAAATAGACAGGTATTAGAAACAAGGACATGGTTTCTAATGTCCTTCATTTTTCACAATAACTATGTTTCAATAGGTATGAAAAAAAGTTTTCAATATCTGAATCTTAACTTCATTGATTCATTGACACATTTAAAAACACATTACAATGGCATTAAAAATCATCAAATATCTAGGAATAAATCTAACGAAAGATATGCAAGTATTCTATACTGAAAACTATGAACTGTTCTTAAAAGAAGTTAAACTCTAAAAAAATGCAGAGATATATCAGTTAACAGATTGGAAGACTCAATATTTCAAAGATGTCAGTTTTCCAGAAATTAATCTATAGATTCAGTGCAACATCAGTGAACATCTCAGCAAGGTTTTTGGTGACATTGGCAAACAGCTTCTAAAATTCATATCTAAATGCAAAGGGTTAAGAAGCGACATAGCTGTCTTGCAGAAGAACAAACCTGGAAGTCTTTCACTGTGGATTGAAGACCTATTATAAAGCTGTAGTAATTAAGACAGGGAGGGTTAGGCAAGGATAGATTGGCCAATAGAAAATAGAGTCCAGAAGCAAACCCACACATATACAGTCATCTGATTTATGACAGAAGCAGTACTGCAGTGGAGTGGCAAAAGGGTAGCCTTTCCCATACATTGGTCAATCGGATATTCATAAGGTAAGATTATATCCTGACCCCACCTCACATATATAAAAATATCACATCTAGGTAGAGTATATATCTCAATGGGAAGGGTAAAACCATAAAATTTTAGTGGAGAACATCTTTGTGACTTGGAGAAGGTAAAGATTTCCTATTTGTCAGCAGGACACACACAAAAAAACAATCATAAAAGAAAAAAATAAACAGGACTATATTAAAATAGAGAACTTCGTGTATCAGAATGTCCACTAAGAGAATGAAAAAGCAACCCACAGAGTAGAAGAGATTCACAGTATACATATCTGACAAAGGATTTGTATCCAGAATATATAAAGAACTTTTAAAATAAAGAAGAGAGAAGCAGACAACTCAATAGAAAAATAGGTAAAATCTTGATAGACACCTTACAAGTGAGGGAATCTAGACAGCCACAGAACATATGAAGAGGTGCTCCAACTTCATTAGTCATCAGGGATATGCAAATTAAAATCACAGTTGAGATGCCATTGCGTACCTTTCAGAATGGCTAAAATGAAAAGAAGGAGGAGGAGGGGGAAAGGGAGGAGGAGATGAGAAGAAACAAGAAAAAGAAAAATAGCAAGTATTGGAAAGGATGTGGAGCAACTGGCATTTTAGCACGTTACTGTGGAAGTGTAAATTGGTATAATCGCTGCTTTGGCAGTATCTACTAAAGCTAACAGGCAAATGCTTTGACTTGAATATTCCACTTTTAGGTGTAGGCCCAACAGAAATTCCTACATATGTTTACCAAAGATATATGCTGCATCCTTCAAAGTAGGGCTGGCTGGAAGGGCCCCAAACTAGACACTATCCACATGCTTATCAATAGTAGAAAGGATAAACAGTGTTATATACACAGCAAAGAGAATGACTCATTTATACTACATGCAACAACATAGAGGAACCTTACAAGCTTATCATTGAGTAAAATAAACCAGATACAAACCAGGATATACCATATTGTTCTAGTTCTATAACGTAAAATAAAGAAAACAGGAAAAATTATACTGCTAGAAGTCAGCCTTGGTATATGGGAGGAGATAGAAACTGGCAGGGGTCATGAGAGGCCTTCTGGGATGCTAATATTCTGTTCCTTGAATTGGGCTTTGGTTACTGGGGTGTGTTTACTGTGAAAATACATCAGCTGTATGCCTATGACATAAATACTTTCCTACAGGTTTATGATACTTCAGTAAAAAGTTAGAAACACTTACTACGTCCTCCTGGGCTGTGATGATAGAGATATTAGACTGGTGCCTGCCCTTGGGGAGCTTGTGGTCTGAAAGCAGAGATAAGCCAGGTACACAGGTACAGGATGTGGTGGGATCTGTTCCATATGTGTGACCCAGATACATCACTGTCAGATGAGAAGAGGGAGCAGTCACTTCCAGCTGGTCTTGTCCAAAGACTGCCTGCTTTCCCGATTCAGTAGTCACTTAGTTGTCACCTGACCTGATCACTACCATGCTGGGTATTTTTGGAATTCCATGACACAAGTCTCTCCTGGTTCATTTCTTTTCTTTCTGGCTGTTTTTACCTCTTGTCTATTGTTGACCCTTCTTTTTTCCATTCATCCCTTATTGGTATTCCCTCGTGTTTTTTGTCTTTGGAACTCTTAGCTTTTTCTTTTCTTCCTTCTATACGTTCTTTCTTGATGACCTCACTAGAAATTTTATTACTATCATCTTTGTGCTATTGTTTTGCAAATAGAAATCTTCAGCTCTAATTTCTCATCAGAACTTCTTATAGATGTGGAGAACTACTCACCATGTCTTTTCACCTAGATGTCCTTCAGGCACCTCAAAATAAGTATATCCCAAACAACTCATTACCTTTCTTCAAACCTTACTTCTGTAGTTCCTTTTTCTGGTTAGTGGGACTGGGATTCACTTACTCACTCAACTAATATTTGTTCAACAAATATATCTGACAACTGTGTTAAATGCTTAGGATTATAAAGTGGAAGACAGATACATTCTAGTAAGAGAGAGAAAATGCAAGTAAAAGTAACTAAAAAATAAAGTTACTCCAGTGTGTTAGCTTGGACTAATGCAATGTCCATAAAGATAGAAGAGGGTCCATTTGAATCATATGTTGGAGGTAGGTCAATAGGACTTGCTGAAGGATTGGGGCTGGGGAATAGAGCTGTTATCAAGTAAAAGTAACTAAAAAATAAAGTTACTCCAGTGTGTTAGCTTGGACTAATGCAATGTCCATAAAGATAGAAGAGGGTCCATTTGAATCATATGTTGGAGGTAGGTCAATAGGACTTGCTGAAGGATTGGGGCTGGGGAATAGAGCTGTTAAGCAGGGCCATGCTCACTCTGAGGGCTCTAGAGGGGAATCTGTTCCATGCCATTCTTTCACATTTCTGATGTAGTTGGGAATTTTTGGCATCCTTTGACTCGTAGATACATCATTCCAATCTCTGCTCCATTGTCACATTACATTCTCTCTGCATCTTTACATGGCATTCTCCTTCTGTGCCATCTATTTTCTTATGAAGACACCACTCATATTGGATCAGGGACCACCTTAATCTAGTATGACCTCATCTTCATTTGATTACATTTGCAAAGTCCCTATCTCCAGATAAGGTCATATTCACAAGATCCTGGGGGTTAGGATGTCAAAATATCTTTTGGGGGGACACAGTTAAACTCACAAGCACTTCCCATTGTCTACAAATTAAAGTGTCCTTAGTGTGGCACTGAGAACCTCACTGAACACTTTGTACATGTTTCATCTCTATCTGGAGAGATCTACTCAGGGTCCCAGTTCTGACCACATCAAATGTCTCCTCAATTCTGACTTCTGCTGGCCTCCTTCCTTTGAGCCAATGCTGCACTTTTTACATGATTTTTAGTATGAAATTGTCACACTGAATTGAAATTATTTCATGTCTGCCCCACAGACTGTGAGCAGGGCAGAAGCTGTGTCTTAACCAATGTACCTCCTGGGCCTCATGGCAGTGCCTAGCACGTTGTAGATCCTCAACAATAAATATATTGGATTTATGAATGAATTTTATCAACAGAAGTCAAAACATATTGTTCTAAGCTAAGGAAATAGCTTGGACAAAATAATAAAGGTGGGATGAATGTGGCATTTATGTGGAATAACTAGAGGTCCAAGTTGAGGAGAGGGAACGGCGTACAGGAGAGGGAACAGCAGGATGGAGATGAGAGGGAGATGAGGCTGGACCAAAGCTAAGGAAGATCTGGAATTTGGAAGGTTCAGTTCAGTTCAGTTCAGTAGGTAGCCAGTTAGAATTTAGGAGTTAGAGATAGAAATCTGGGCATCATCTCATAATGATAGTAGTACAAGCCAGAGGTGTAGATTAGATTACCCAAAGAACATATTGAAAGAGAAGAGAAGAGGACATAGGATGGAGAAGAGCAAGAGCCGAGTTGGAGATGAAAGTTTAGCACATGGGCAAAAAGATAAGACCAAGTTCATGAAATACAAAAGATGAAGGTTTCATGGGTGAGGAAGTCTTCTATTGTATCAGAGGTTGTACAAATGAGAGTTTAACAAAAATGAATTTCAACTGGTGACTTAAATATTAGGGACCTTTGAGATAGCAGATCAACTTGGGGAGTGGCAGGCGCGAGGTGAGGGCAGAAGTCAGTTAAAAAGTATGAGTGGAGAGACACTGATTTACATGGTGATGAACACATGCATTTGTCTTCCTTCTCTTAAAATTCCAGCAAAGTGGAAAGCGTGTCTCAAGGATGAGAGAGAGAGAGGGAGAGCATGCTGGCTGGGGGACGGGAGACGAAGCAGAAGCAACAGCAGACAAATGATGATGACAAGATTTTGGAAGTTAGGAAGGAAAAGGTCAAGTGGTAATACACTTAGAGTCCACAGAAAGCCTGGTTGCGTAGAGGACAAGAGGCCAACTGATCCATGCTATAGTTTCATGCCACAGGAACTTTGAAATACTCAACACTGGAAGCTTCCAGTTACCTCTGGAGCTGGAAGTTCAGGATAGAACTGGAAATAAGACTGGTTGAAAGTCTTTATAAATGAGTCTCTTTCCCACTGTGACTCTCCTTCACCCCAACAAAAGGCTAAAGGCTAAAGGATTCAATGAAAGTCTACTTGCTGAAAATAATTCTTCTAAGCCTGGTTTCCAGGGCACCGTTATCCAGGCTTATACTGTCAGTCAGGAGACTGGAAGATTTCTCCACAGAAAACTAAGTGATCCATTGGAAATGTGCATTTGTGGATTCTCCAGGGAAATGCCTGGGCCCTGCCTGATCACTCTAGACAATAAAGCATTCTGGTTGACAAGTCCTGTCCCTGCAGACAGCTTCCAGTCAGTGTTTCAGCATTTTATTCTTTAATATAATCAGATGAGGATCACCAAACATTTGAGGAAAGCTTCTAACATGACAGACACCAAAACAAACAAACAATGGGACACACAGAAACTAAAGAAACAGTGCACAGAACAAAAGAGAAAATACAGTATAAGACCCTTAAGGTATTTAGAGATGACACCACATCCATGGAACAGGAAGAAGGGTTTTAAAAAAAGAACAGTCAGAGAACAAGAATGTGTTGTTGGAAATAAAAATATGAGAGCAGAGCATTTTTTTTTTTGTGGATCTTAATCCAATCTGACTGGTGTCCTTTTTTTTTTGTATCATTGATCTACAATTATATGAGGGACATTATGTTTACTAGACTCCCCCCATCACCAAGGTCCCCCCAAATACCCTATTGCAGTCACTGTCCATCAGTGTAGTGAGATGTGTAGAATCATTACTTGTCTTCTCTGTTGTACGGCCCTCCCTGGGCCCCTCCCTACGTTATGTCAAGAGCAGAGCATTTTTAAAAATCAAAAGAAGGATGGAAAGACAAAGTTCAAGAATTTCCAGGAAGCAGAGAAAAAAGGACAAACTGATAGAAAATAGGAAAGAAAAGCAATGTAGAGGGTTCATCTGAGAGGCTCAGTGTCTACTAGGAATTCCAGAAAGAGCACAGAGAAAATAGAGGTGAGGAGATCGTCTGTGAAAGAATACCTGAAAATTTCCTAGAACCAAAAGATCGACATTTTAAAATTAAAAGGTCATGCCTAGTGTCTGGCATAGTAATTGAATAAGGTTGACACCAGGGTGGGATTTCAGAACACTAGGAAAACAGACAAGAAATTCCTGAAAGCTTGTCGGGTTACATACAAAGAATCAGGGATCAGAATGGCAGCAGACTTCTCAACAGAAACTCTGGAACCTAGAAGGAAATGAAGCAATGCCATCAAAATTCCAAATGAAAATTACTTACAACCTATAAATCTATACCCAGCCAAATATAATCAAATGATGAAGGTAGACTAAAGGCATTTTCAGACTTGCAAGGCCAGACTTTCAAAACTTTTGCCTTACATGAATTCATTTCTTACGAGGTTCCTGAAGGATGTGCTTCAGCACATTGAAGGAGTGAACCAAGAAAGAGGAAAAAATGAAATCCAGGAAAGAGGATTCCAACATATGAGAAGAGCAGAGTCTAGAATGTTGGCAAAGCAGTCATAGGATGATAGCTATGCAGCCAACTAGGGAGCAGCCCACCCAGACTGGAGCAGGAAGAGAAAGTGCCCCAGGAGAGAGGGTTCTAGGAAAGTAACAAAATCAATAGATTACTTGATGAGTTCAAATATATTGGGAAGAAATTTGCGGTTCTGTCAGAAAGTTTGAGGAAACATTGGTAACAGATACACAGAAAATAAAACAACTCTTTGCCCCTCCAAAAACCAAAAAAGTTGTACAAGAAAAAGAAATTGATCATAGTATGATACTGGCTCAGGGGTGGTTAACAGTTACGTATTTACCATAAATAAACACTAAATTATTATTTAACAAAATCATGATGCAGCTGTCTTGGGAAGATGAAGTGTGTTATATAAGTTGTATAAGAGCAAATCCTTTTCTTCCTCATAGGAAATTGATAGATAACATTAAAACTGACAATGGATAAATTAATAGCAGTGTAAGCAAATGCCAGAAGAATAAAAGTCATTGCTTCCAGAAAGTGGGAATGTGTAGGGATGGGTCAGAGAATTGTAATACTTGTAATACTATTTGAATTTTTAAACACTATACATTTATATCTTGATAAAATTAAAAGTTATTAAAAATAGTGAACATGGAAGAATTAGAGTTAATGGGTGTAAAATGTTCTTTGATTAATTTGGTGTTGAATGTAAGGAGAAATATCTTCCTTCCTTTCTTCTTTCTTTCCTGCTAATAAACACTTAGGAAGATGAAAAGTGCCCCAAGTAGCCCAGCTCTAAGAAGAAATGAATGTGTCTCAGGCAATTTTACAATAGTCTTCAAATTTCTAATCCAAAAATTGGTTGCATTGGGAGTAGATTAGCCCTGGTGTAACTTCTCTGTGTGCTGTAGAACAGAGACTTGAAGAAGTCAGGTTCTGGAAGAAGGAGTTAGATGACAAACTTGAGCAGCTTATATATGCAACGGAAGACCTACTCATATATCGGACCAGATTGGAGAATGCCCTGGAGAGCTTCAAAGAACCCTTGCGGATCACTCAGCTGTGCCTTGAATACAGGTAGGAGGAAAGGTTCCTCTAGTGAATATTGAGAAATGAAATGCTAGGTAGTAAATGCTGACTGTGCCAGGTGGCGGATTAACCATGTGTTCTTTTAAAGCCTCCCATGATCTCAGCATTGCCATGGTGCTGGGTGGTGGAAGGAGCACTGGACTTGGTTCATGTCTAAACTGCTGTGGACTAAACTATGAGTGAGGACTAAGTTTGGCTCTGGGTCATCAGAAAACTGCAAAATAACATTAAACATAAATAAGATAGTTTCTTTCTCTCTTACATTTAAGGGGTCTGGAGATGGTTCAGGGTTGGCATGGTGTGCCAGTGTCAGGGTCCAGGCTTCTATCTTACTGCTCCACTGCTTTTACTCCCCAAATTACCTTGTGATTCAAGATGGCCACTGGAGCTCCACCCATTTGTCTATGTTCCAGCAAGCAGGAATAATAGGGTTTGGCATTCACCATTTCCATTTGCATCCCATTGACCAAAACTTAGTCAATATGGCTACACCACTAGAAACTGGGAAATAGTAGACTTTATGTGCAGCAGGCAGAGCAGATAGACTCACTAGAGGACAAGTCTGTTCCAATACACAGAGCCACGCTGAAGTGCTTTGTAATGCAGAGAGCAAACATAGCTTTTAATTAGAATTTTCCTCCTGAAAGTCCCTCTGCAGCAACCAGGCAGCAATCTTCCTGGCCAGATGTAGAATTTGTGAAGCAAAGAGAAGTAGCAGGTGATCAGAGGCCAACATCCAGTTGGCTCAAGTTTACTCCTAAGGGTGTTAATACTGTGGAGATTTCTAAGTTGATTGAGTACGTGCTATTGTGTGCCAGATACTATGCTGGCTGCTTTTCTATCCCATGTATTCCTTGCCACAACCTTATGAAGTACAAATAATTATCCCTACTTCACAGAAGAAACCAAGGCTCAGATCAATTATACAGGGTGTCTGAGTCCACACAGCTGGTGAGTGCAGCCTTCCTCCCAAGCACTGTCGCAGAGAGTGGGCTGTGCCTGATTCCATTTTGGGAGTAACATGTCTAGTGGTTAAGAACATGTGTAACCCGGTCTGTGACACTGGATAAATTACCTAACCCCTCTGAAACAGCTCCCTCACCTGTGCTTGAAGGGTTGTTAGAATATTCATTTGAAAAGCTCAGCTCAATGTCTGTCACATAGTTGTGGGTGGCATTTTTATTATAAAAGCATTTTTCTGGATTTAAATCCTTGTCCACAAACAGGATTAAGATCAAGGAAAGAAACACATCTTTGAAATAAATGCTAAGTCAAAGGACAATGTTTCCAATAAATAGGTAAGGAAAAGTCTTCAGAACAGATGGGCAAATTGAGGGGACAAAGTCCATCTCCCATTTTCGATTCAAGTGACCAATCACTGATTAATTTTTCTTCATTGTGTTTGGGATATTTTGAAGTTGAATAGACACCAACTAATGCACATCCCTGACCACGTCATTCTGACAGATGAGGCCATAATCAAACCAGCTGTCCGGGTGGTTTTAAATGACCAGATGTTAGCAAATGCTGATGATGTGATGGATGACCTGCTGCTTTCTCTGGGTCAGGGAGAAGCGAGTTGGCATCGACCTGGTGCATGACGAAGTGGAACAGGAGCTGATAAAGGAGGCTGAGATCATCCGGGCGGTGATGGCCCTGCTGACCCGCACCTTGGAGGAGACGTCCGAGCAGATCAGGTCTGGCTGTGCAGGGCCTGCCCTCCACATCTTCCCTGGGCGTATCTAGAAAAGGCAGCACCCACAAAGGCCAGGCTCCATGGCCCAGAAAAAATGGGGTTTAAATCTGATGAGCCCTTAGCAAGCCTGAGGTGGCCTGGGGACCCTCAAAATGGGATCGGGACAACCTCTCTTCCTTGACAGCCGCCCTCTGGTGGTGGGCGGAGGTGGAACTGTATTTCACTCCTGATTGTGAACTGTGAACTGGAGGACACTGGAGCCGTTCCCTCCTGGGGCTGACGTCTCACATACAGTATGCTACGGTGGTGACATCAGGCAATGTCACAGCTAGAGGGAAGATTCTGAGGTCTAGGCTTGGTGATGTTGATTCGTTACCAAGCATCTAGTGGTATAGTATATTGGGATGGGGGAAAGGTGGGGTGGGGGCAGAGCCGCCCTTCTGTACAAGATCTAGAGTTAGTGTCATTTTCCAGGGTCTCCCAAGAACCTGTAGGTGCTGCCTGGGCACTCCAGGGGGAGAAACCAGTTAACCTTCTCCCTTTAGGCTGAACCGCTCTGCCAAGTACAATCTTGAAAAGGATTTGAAGGACAAGTTTGTGGCCCTGACCATTGATGATGTCTGCTTCTCACTCAACAACAACTCGCCAGACATCAGATATTCTGAGAATGCTGTGAGGGTCGAACCAAAGTGAGTGGGCCCCTGGCTGCTGGCCTGGCGGGCTCTCTTCCTCTCTGCTATGTAACATCCCAGTGCTTCTCCGACAGGGCAGCTCCTAGTGTGTAGTTGTGCAGCAGGCTGGGGGCGAGGAGGAGGCAAAAGCAGGTGCTGAGCAGTGACTCCCCTGGGATAGGGCTCAGGGGCTCCTTGGTTGCCCAGGGTAGGCACCCCCTTTAAGAAAGTCTGATTTAAAATCTCTAAACATTTAAAATGTATTCATTTACCTATTCATGTTTTTAAGAAGTAAGAGATGCTAAAAACATGAAGGGCAAGTTAAAAATTTCTCCCTATCTGCCTCTTTCCATTATTACACTCCCTGAGATAACTAATCTATATGTTCCTGCAAACATATGTATATACTCACACACAAATGAATTTTGTTTTGTTTACAAAAATGGGATTATTTTATGTACCTTTTCTTTAGTATCTCACTTACGTTTTTTGAACCTTTTTGATGTAAACATACATATAAAAAAGTGTACAAATAATAAGCACATAGCCTAATGAACTGTCATTGTATTATCTTCTGCTGTATAAGTAGGCCAAAATTTAGTAGACTAAAACAATAAACATTTACTGTCTCAAAGTTTCTGTGGGTCAGGAACCCAGGCATCACTTAGCTGGGTGCTTGTGGCTCATGTCTCATGAGGTCGTAGTCAAACTGTCTACTGGACTGCAGTCTCCTCTGAAGGCTCGACTCTGGTGGTGGTGGTGGGGATCCACTTCTAAGCTGACATGGTGATTATGGCAGACCTTGCCGTGGGAGCCTTTCCATGTCTCCTGGCATGGCAGCTGTCTTCTCCCACAGTGAGTGGTCCAAGAGAAAGTGAGAGAAAGCAAGCACCCCCAAGCCAGAAGCCACAGTCTTCTTTTAACCTAAGCCCAGAAATGACATTCCATCACTTCTGTTTGTGAGAAACAAGTCAGTGAGTTCATCCCACAAATCAAAGGGAGAGGAGGATTACATAGAAGTGTGAATACCAGGAGATGGGGGTATGTGTGGGGACCATCTCGGAAGCTGCCTGCAATCACAGTGAACAATCCCCATGTAACCACCAACCAGGTCAAGAAATAAAATATTACCACAGGCATGGAAACCCCCACCCTGGCCTCTTGTTCCATACCCCCTCTCACCTTCCCAGAGGCAGCTATATTCCTAACTTCTAATAGGTTTGTTCTGCCTGCTTTTGTATTCATTAAATAGCACTATATACTATCTATTTTGTGTATATGTCAGTTTTCTTCCTTTGCAGATTATTTTGAGGTTAATCTGTTGTTTCATAAAGCAGTTCCTTGTCAAACTAACAATTCATTCATTTACTTATATCAGTAAGGACACATGGTTTCCTATTTTATTCACTGTATTATAATTTGTTACTATTATTTATTTTGATACCCAAATTATCCCTGCCTGTGTGATCCTGACCAAGTTACTCCATCTTACTGAGCTTCAGTTCACTAGGCCATCATGAGGATTAAGTGAGATACTGTCTGTGAAGTGCCATCCCAGAGCTTGGCACAGAATAGGTAGGTTTCCCCAAACTGACAGCTATTGCCAGTGACAGACCACAGTTTGTTCTGCCTAGAGATGGGGAAACATTCTATCTGCTTCTGCTGGTAGAGGTATGCTTAGATTCCAGTGGATTTCCAGGAGCTTGTCCCCTCCCTGTACCTTCTTCCCCAGCCCAAATATGCTGTGAATGAATGTGTGGGTCCTGTTTCAGCTCTGTGAGCCTGGAAGACTGGTTGGACTTCTCCAACACCAACGTGGAGAAGGCTGACAAGCAGAGGAACAACTCCCTGGCGCTGAAGGCCCTGGTGGACCGAATCTTGACCCAGACAGCTAAGGACCTGCACAAGCAATGTGACGTGGTGGACACGGCATTCAAGAATGGGCTGGAGGAGACCAAGGCTGCCAGGGACAAGCTGGCTACTCATCTGGCCAAGGTGAGCTCCCTGGAGGGAACAAGGAAGACCACATTCAGGTTTCACCATGGAAACCTAGACTACCCTCTGGGCTAGGCAGTGGCCTTCTGGACTTGTGATCTTGGGTTAACTAAGGAGTAAAGCTCATTCACATCTCTCCTTCTTAGCAGCAGACTGGGCTTTGGGGAACTGGAGTGGACTTTGCCCCACTCTGGGCCTCCTTTGTCAGTCATTGCTGCAAAGAGCTGGCCATCTCCCCACGTGGGCCTCAGTTCCTCCTTATGTGACATACAGAGATATTCTTTATGACTCTGAAGTTCCATGAGTTAAATGCAGCAAATTTCTCTAAACCGGGATTCTGGGTGGTTGTCCCTCTCAGTTATTCAGTGGTGTGCTGGTAAAGATTTAGAATTAACTGGCTCTCTGATTTAGAATTAAGAATAGGAATGTTTAAGATAGTCTAACCCAGGGTTCAGCAAACTTAGGCTTTGTGAGCCAAGAGGCAAAATCTAGGATATTCTGTAGCTATTTATATAATAAAACAAAATTTCCATAAAATCTTCATTGCTGAAATTAAAAAAAAAAAAATAATTGAATATAGTTTTTTGTAATTCAGGTCTACTGATGAAGGACATTCTTGTTTGGGGAGGACGATATCTTGCTCTGTTGGGGTTCAAAGTTAGTGTTTCCCATCAAAATTTATTGGTAATTAATGTTTATCTGTTAATGCTGATCTTTAATGAGATCTTTATGTATTTCATCTCTGAAATTGTCCTTTCATTCAGATTGGTACTGCCAAATAATGATAACAATCTATGAGCATATGGTTTTAATTGAATACATTTACTCTTAGAGGGCATTTTATAGAATTCTATTAGACTCTTCTCCTGATATGTGCCTTTTAGCATGTCATTCCATTTCAGATTAATCACTTCTAGTTGAGATGCAGGTAGACATCTTTAATTGCATGGTTAAGTCAATTTTGAAATATGGAAATCCTTTGCATTTGCTTTGAGGTCCAAAAAAATACTGCTGGAACTTGGGAAATATGCTGCAAATGTATGGGGGAAGGGAGGTCTTGCTTCTTGTTTTAACTTTTGATGGCACAGTAAGCCATGTTAACAAGCCAAACTAACAAGCCATGTTAGTTGTTTAAATGACTTTTCTGCAGTGTAAGCTTTGCATATAAGTGCTGTCTTGCCTTGGGATTTTAGGATGGATTCATTAAGAAATATTACTAAGTCTGTGGCAGAAGTGAATTTCCAAACCATTCATTATTTGATAATAGTGGTTGAGGGTGGTTCTCTTGGTCAGAAAAATTTCAGTTTTGGCCCTGAGTTAAAAGCAGTCACAAGAAAATTTTTACCAATGTTAAACCTTTAAACTGCTGATTAATAGAGCAAATTAGGATGTTCAGCTTCTGTTTCTCATGAAAATTCAGAGAACTAATGGTGGTTCAAATCCATGAGAGTGAATGAAGTTCACTCTTGATTCTACTGGTTCAATTACACATGATAGATACAAATATTTTCTGCAAAATATTTTGTGATGATCATGCAATGAATAGTTTACATTTCCACAAGCTCTGTAAATATGTTCAATTGAGCCTCTTTCTGCTCAACATATATTTGTACCATCATTGGCTGAAGCACTTCTTAGCAGATTCCGCTTCAGGTTGTATTGAGTTAGTGTTTGCTCAACTTTTTGAAAATATCCTTGCCTGTAGGCATTTCATGAGACCATTCATAGAGGCTAATTCTTTAATCACTTCAAACTCAGCACTGAGTCCTTGAATATACAACAACCGAGCAATATTGGAACACCTGCCAACTTGTGAAGCAAAGAAAAACTGCCCAAAATGATGTGCCTGGTTTTTAAATTGACTATTGATGTTGTTCCCTGATGTCCTTAACTCTTCAAGCAACTATTCTTGCAGGAACACTAATAGTCTTAAACAAATTTATATTCTCTGGACACCCTTCCTCAGCTGCTGCAATCAAACATGGTTTAATGAATTCAACATCAGTAAATGGCTTTCCTTGCTTGGTTAGCAAATGAGCTGCTTTGAACCTTACTTTGATTGCAGTCTTATTTTCATATTTCTGAGGAAATTCTGTAGGGATGAGATATTGTTTAAATTTCTATTTTTGTCTGATCATTGCTCTCTTGTGAGTTGGGAATATTGTGATGAACCCTTAGTCTCCTAATGTTGACTTATGTTATATTCTTTCAGCACAGCTATAATGTTGCATAAGAAGCATGGTGCTTTACTATCTAATTGATTAACAAAACGCACACTTCACTATGCCTTAAAAATGCAACACACAAGGCCCACTTTTCTTGATTTATCATGGCGGGTATGTGCTAGTAATTAAAAATTAAATCAGAGGTCACTGTATGATGGTAGCATAGCACTCAGAAAGTGGTCAAATTATAACTGTGTCATTTTGGGATTTGTTTGTAGTACTCTGGGCAGTAGCACAAAACAATAAAGGCATAGCACGCACATTCTGTTGGAACTTCTTAAACCTGCTGTTGTAGCTCAAAAGCAGCCATATATAGATGAATGAGCATGGCTGTATTCCAGTAACTTTTGGACACTAAAATTTGAATTTTATATCATTTCCACATGACATGAAATATTACTATTATTTTGATGTTTTTCAATGATAAAAAGTGTAAAAAACCTTTCCAGAGAATGAAAAGCCATAAACTAGGGGAAAATATTTGCAAAACACATATCTGATAAGGGACTATTATCTGAATATACAAAGAACTCTTAGAACTCAACAATAAGAAAACAGCCCAGTTAAAAAATAGACAAAAAAATCTGAACAGACATTCCACCAAAGAAGATATTCATATGGCAATTAACCACGCAAAGATGCTCAACATCATATGTCACAGTTTTGGAAAGGCCACTACGTGCCTATAGAAAAATCCAAAACATTGTTAGTGCCAAATGTTGGCAAGGATGTAGAACAACAGGAACTTTCATTCATTGCTGGTGGGAAGGTAAAATGTTAACAGCCTCTGTGGAAGACACTTTGGTAGGTTCTTATAAAACTAAATATGCATATGGTGCAGCAACCTCACTTCTTGGTATTTACCCAAATGTGTTGAAAACTTAGATCCACACAAAAATCTGCTAATGAATGTTTATAGCAGCTTAATTTATAATTGCCAAACTTGGAAGTATGAAGATGTCCTTCAGTAGATGAATGGATAAGCAAATTGTAGTACATCCACACATGGAATATTATTCAGCAATAAAAAAGAAATGAGCCATCAAGCCACAAAAAACTATGGAGGAACTTCATAGACATATCACTAAATGAAAGAAGCCAATATGAGATTCATATTGTATGATTCCACCTCTATAACATTCTGGAGAAGGCATAACTATGGAGACACTTGAAAGATTAGTGGTTGTCAGGGTTTCAGATGGCTGGGGGGTGGGTAGGGAAGGAGGGATAAAAAGGAGGAGCACAGGATTTTTAGGGCAATCAAACCTATTCTGTATGATACTGTCATAGTGGATACATGTGATTATACTTTTGTCAAAATTCATAGATTGTACAACACAAAGAGTGAACCCCAATATAACTATGAACTTTAATTAATGATAATGTATCAGTATTGGTTCATCAGTTGTAACAAAAGAACCACAGTAAGCAAGATGTTACTAATAGAGAAAACAAATGTGATGTGGGAGGAAAGAGGGTACATGGGAGCTCTGTATTTCCCTCTCAGTTTTGCTGTAAACCTAAAAGTACTCTAAAGAAGTCTATTAAGTCTTTAAAAACTCACATTTTGCTGTCTGGGGGATAAACAAAATACGTGTCAGACTGAATATGGTCCATAAACTATAGTGTGCTGATTCCTGATTTAACCCATAGCATTAGTAGTTTTATTTTAAAGAGTCTATGTATTTTGGATATTTTAAGTATTTGTAAAATTTAAGGGAATTTGGCTGTTTTCAAGATGAACTTGAACATATGTAATTGAATAATTGGTTTAGACTTATAATTTTAAGTTGAAATTATAGCAAGTGGAAAAGCAGTATTAAACTATTTAAGAGAACTTAAGAATAATTTTTGCTAGTTTGTTAGATTTATGAGATCTTTTAAGAACTCCAGAAGGGCCTGTTCGTTAAGGCAATTCAAGTGTTTTTAAAACAGTTACATATCAGATTTATAAATGCTGCTTAAAACAAATGTTTAAAGGCTTTTAACTAAGTTTAAAGTGGGAGCAACTGTTAATCAAAATTAAATGATTATTAACATTTGCTAAGTTTAAAATAGTATAGTATCTGTGAACTGAACTTAAGAAAAGCTTAAGAAATATCAAGGCTTAAGAAGACCAAATGCAACATGTGGACCTCATTTAGATTCTAATTCGAATAAGCCAACTCTTACAAAAATATGGGACAATATGGGACAATTAGTGAAATTTGAACACTATATACTAGATAATATTAAAGAATCGTACTTTTGTGTGTGATAAAGGTAGTTATGTTTTTTTTATAATTTTTGGCACAGTAAGCCATGTTAACAAGCCAAACTAACAAGCCATGTTAGTTGTTTAAATGACTTTTCTGCAGTGTAAGCTTTGCATATAAGTGCTGTCTTGCCTTGGGATTTTAGGATGGATTCATTAAGAAATATTACTAAGTCTGTGGCAGAAGTGAATTTCCAAACCATTCATTATTTGATAATAGTGGTTGAGGGTGGTTCTCTTGGTCAGAAAAATTTCAGTTTTGGCCCTGAGTTAAAAGCAGTCACAAGAAAATTTTTACCAATGTTAAACCTTTAAACTGCTGATTAATAGAGCAAATTAGGATGTTCAGCTTCTGTTTCTCATGAAAATTCAGAGAACTAATGGTGGTTCAAATCCATGAGAGTGAATGAAGTTCACTCTTGATTCTACTGGTTCAATTACACATGATAGATACAAATATTTTCTGCAAAATATTTTGTGATGATCATGCAATGAATAGTTTACATTTCCACAAGCTCTGTAAATATGTTCAATTGAGCCTCTTTCTGCTCAACATATATTTGTACCATCATTGGCTGAAGCACTTCTTAGCAGATTCCGCTTCAGGTTGTATTGAGTTAGTGTTTGCTCAACTTTTTGAAAATATCCTTGCCTGTAGGCATTTCATGAGACCATTCATAGAGGCTAATTCTTTAATCACTTCAAACTCAGCACTGAGTCCTTGAATATACAACAACCGAGCAATATTGGAACACCTGCCAACTTGTGAAGCAAAGAAAAACTGCCCAAAATGATGTGCCTGGTTTTTAAATTGACTATTGATGTTGTTCCCTGATGTCCTTAACTCTTCAAGCAACTATTCTTGCAGGAACACTAATAGTCTTAAACAAATTTATATTCTCTGGACACCCTTCCTCAGCTGCTGCAATCAAACATGGTTTAATGAATTCAACATCAGTAAATGGCTTTCCTTGCTTGGTTAGCAAATGAGCTGCTTTGAACCTTACTTTGATTGCAGTCTTATTTTCATATTTCTGAGGAAATTCTGTAGGGATGAGATATTGTTTAAATTTCTATTTTTGTCTGATCATTGCTCTCTTGTGAGTTGGGAATATTGTGATGAACCCTTAGTCTCCTAATGTTGACTTATGTTATATTCTTTCAGCACAGCTATAATGTTGCATAAGAAGCATGGTGCTTTACTATCTAATTGATTAACAAAACGCACACTTCACTATGCCTTAAAAATGCAACACACAAGGCCCACTTTTCTTGATTTATCATGGCGGGTATGTGCTAGTAATTAAAAATTAAATCAGAGGTCACTGTATGATGGTAGCATAGCACTCAGAAAGTGGTCAAATTATAACTGTGTCATTTTGGGATTTGTTTGTAGTACTCTGGGCAGTAGCACAAAACAATAAAGGCATAGCACGCACATTCTGTTGGAACTTCTTAAACCTGCTGTTGTAGCTCAAAAGCAGCCATATATAGATGAATGAGCATGGCTGTATTCCAGTAACTTTTGGACACTAAAATTTGAATTTTATATCATTTCCACATGACATGAAATATTACTATTATTTTGATGTTTTTCAATGATAAAAAGTGTAAAAAACCTTTCCAGAGAATGAAAAGCCATAAACTAGGGGAAAATATTTGCAAAACACATATCTGATAAGGGACTATTATCTGAATATACAAAGAACTCTTAGAACTCAACAATAAGAAAACAGCCCAGTTAAAAAATAGACAAAAAAATCTGAACAGACATTCCACCAAAGAAGATATTCATATGGCAATTAACCACGCAAAGATGCTCAACATCATATGTCACAGTTTTGGAAAGGCCACTACGTGCCTATAGAAAAATCCAAAACATTGTTAGTGCCAAATGTTGGCAAGGATGTAGAACAACAGGAACTTTCATTCATTGCTGGTGGGAAGGTAAAATGTTAACAGCCTCTGTGGAAGACACTTTGGTAGGTTCTTATAAAACTAAATATGCATATGGTGCAGCAACCTCACTTCTTGGTATTTACCCAAATGTGTTGAAAACTTAGATCCACACAAAAATCTGCTAATGAATGTTTATAGCAGCTTAATTTATAATTGCCAAACTTGGAAGTATGAAGATGTCCTTCAGTAGATGAATGGATAAGCAAATTGTAGTACATCCACACATGGAATATTATTCAGCAATAAAAAAGAAATGAGCCATCAAGCCACAAAAAACTATGGAGGAACTTCATAGACATATCACTAAATGAAAGAAGCCAATATGAGATTCATATTGTATGATTCCACCTCTATAACATTCTGGAGAAGGCATAACTATGGAGACACTTGAAAGATTAGTGGTTGTCAGGGTTTCAGATGGCTGGGGGGTGGGTAGGGAAGGAGGGATAAAAAGGAGGAGCACAGGATTTTTAGGGCAATCAAACCTATTCTGTATGATACTGTCATAGTGGATACATGTGATTATACTTTTGTCAAAATTCATAGATTGTACAACACAAAGAGTGAACCCCAATATAACTATGAACTTTAATTAATGATAATGTATCAGTATTGGTTCATCAGTTGTAACAAAAGAACCACAGTAAGCAAGATGTTACTAATAGAGAAAACAAATGTGATGTGGGAGGAAAGAGGGTACATGGGAGCTCTGTATTTCCCTCTCAGTTTTGCTGTAAACCTAAAAGTACTCTAAAGAAGTCTATTAAGTCTTTAAAAACTCACATTTTGCTGTCTGGGGGATAAACAAAATACGTGTCAGACTGAATATGGTCCATAAACTATAGTGTGCTGATTCCTGATTTAACCCATAGCATTAGTAGTTTTATTTTAAAGAGTCTATGTATTTTGGATATTTTAAGTATTTGTAAAATTTAAGGGAATTTGGCTGTTTTCAAGATGAACTTGAACATATGTAATTGAATAATTGGTTTAGACTTATAATTTTAAGTTGAAATTATAGCAAGTGGAAAAGCAGTATTAAACTATTTAAGAGAACTTAAGAATAATTTTTGCTAGTTTGTTAGATTTATGAGATCTTTTAAGAACTCCAGAAGGGCCTGTTCGTTAAGGCAATTCAAGTGTTTTTAAAACAGTTACATATCAGATTTATAAATGCTGCTTAAAACAAATGTTTAAAGGCTTTTAACTAAGTTTAAAGTGGGAGCAACTGTTAATCAAAATTAAATGATTATTAACATTTGCTAAGTTTAAAATAGTATAGTATCTGTGAACTGAACTTAAGAAAAGCTTAAGAAATATCAAGGCTTAAGAAGACCAAATGCAACATGTGGACCTCATTTAGATTCTAATTCGAATAAGCCAACTCTTACAAAAATATGGGACAATATGGGACAATTAGTGAAATTTGAACACTATATACTAGATAATATTAAAGAATCGTACTTTTGTGTGTGATAAAGGTAGTTATGTTTTTTTTATAATTTTACTTATATGTGTAATTTAAAAATATAAAATAAGTTAACAAAACAGAAATAGACTCATAAATACAGAGAACAAACGGGTGGTTGCTACAGAGGAGGGGAGTGGGGGAATGGGCAAAATTGGTGAAGATAAAGAGTAACAAACTTCTAATTATAAAATAAGTAAGTCATGGGGATGAAAAGTACAGTATAGGTAATAAAGTCAATAATATTGTAATAAGTTTAGTGAGAGATGGTAATTACACTTATGGTGAGCATTTGTTAATACACATAATTGTCGGATCACTATTTTGTACACCTGAAACAATGTAATATTGTACATCAACTATATTTAAAGTAAAACAAATAAATATAGTCTCTAGTCTTGTTTAATGGATTCAGCTTCTTCTCTCCTTGAGAATGTTTTATTTGAAATTTTATTCTTTTCCCTAAATTGTCTTTGTTTTTTTTTTTTTTTTTCCTTTTCTAGGTGATATGTTTTAATCTCTGACATGGAGATTTCCCAGATAATTCTAATGATCTTGTTTTTTACTGAAACATAAAAGTAATGTACTAGAATCCAAGTAGACATTTGTTGTGTATGGGTTGGACTTACGAAGTAGTGACCGTCATAGTCAGATGAGTACTCATTTATTTGAGCATGTTGTAAATACCATCTTCTTTTTCTACAATCATTCAATTTTATTTTGAGAAAATGTCTCCAGTGTCCTGCATGGGGTTGTATATATACCTAGTTGTCAGCATTCTTACAGATGATGTCATTAAAGCACTGGGGGCCTGTTCAATGGAAGTCGACTTTTCCTCAGTGCCTTATTTTTCAGGATTCCTTCTACTTCTTGGGCAGAGTCTGGAGTCTTTCTGTTTCCTTTGTTGGGATGTGGTGGGGTTGTTTATGTATTTTCTCCCGGCTTGGTGTCCAGCGTCATGAGCTTCGTTAAGCAGGGGAGGTAAAGGCAGCACGCCACGGCAGTTAAGTGGTGACAAGTGTTGTGGCAGAGGAAAAATGAGGTATCCTGAATTTTCCCACCTCAACTCGAACTCTGGCCAGCCCTGGAAGGACAGGGCACCTCAGAGGCTTCGGGCCTACCATCTCCGGCCGCCCGCGGCGAGAGAGGGAGGGAGGGAGCGGCGGGCCTGCGGGGCGGGGACGCAACGTCGCCGGGCCGCAGTGGCCAGACAGGCAGTTATGTTAAAAGAAAAAATCTTCATGTCTTAGTAATACATATTCAAGTATTTAAGACTGAAGTGATATAATACCTGGGATTTGCTTTAGATAATGAAGCTGATGGGTGGGGTGGTAAGAGGGGCTTACAGATGAAACAGGATTGGGCAGGTATTGACAATTTCTTAGATTGCTGATGGGTTCATGAGGGTCTGTGAACTATCTTTTGGTGTATGGACATTTCTGTGATACAACGTTGTTTTTAAAGCTTAAAAAACAAAATGTTAAACTGATCAAACATTAATCTAAAAACTCGAGTAATTTATAAGTAATCTTTCCCGTGCACAAAACCACAATCAGAAAGAACAACAGAACTCAGATTGAACTGCTTGTTCTTCTTCAGGCTCCAGGGGGCAGAACTGGTGCGAGTGGGCAGAGTAAGAAGGAAGTAGGCAGCTTTATGCTCATGGTACATATGCACTCAGAGCCGAGGTGAACAGGCAGCCTCCAGCCTTTGCTGGGGGCACTCTCCAGGAACTCACAGTATTTGGGAAGGGGATGAGGCGACAGTGGCCTGTCGTGTCCATTCTGTCTGTGAAGTTATAAGGTTGGGTGAGTTACCTTACCCACAGCAAGCGCTGCTAAAGGGAAGACAGGTTAGACTCGTTCTGGTGCCCTGCTTCAGCAGACATCTGAGGTCCCCTCTTCCTAACTTCATGATCACAACAGACCTCCTAAGAGTATCTGCTGTTGAGGTGGATGAGCACAACTGGTCTCATCTCCTCTAATCCTTTGTCGTGAAGGTCATGGAAGAGATTGCGTCCCAGGAGAAAAATGTTACAGTTCTCGAGAAAGCCATCCTTGACCAAGAAGGGCCTGCCAAGGTGGCTCATACACGCCTGGAGACCAGGACGTATCGGCCGAACGTGGAGCTGTGCTGTGATGCTGCACAGTACAGGCTGATCAGAGAGGTGAATGATATCACCCACAACGTTGCAAGGTAGGTTGGCAGCCGGTGGGCAGAGGGCCTGGGCGGCTCCCTTTACACTTGGGCTGTGAACAGGCTGGGCAGTGCCATCTGGGTGAAGCCTGTTGGGCATGAGTACATTTGCATCTGTGATGTTTGGGGGGTTGTTTTCCTCAAGGTCAGTCTCTACTAACTGCAGCCAGTTGCTATTATGCAAGAAATAGATCCCAGTGTTTAAATTTTTCTAAAGAAGCCCACATCCAGATGTTTAGGTAAAGTGTTTACAGTTTTAAATACTGACAGTTTATGGAGTAGGCCTTGTGAATCTGGCCTATGGTCCCCAACTTGAAGTCTCTTGTTTTAAAGACGACAGAGGGCGAGGACCTATCAATTTGGCCTCTACCCCAAATACATTCATTCCCCTGGAAAGGGGATGCAGAGAGATAAATGACTCTCTTATGTTTCTCTTCTCTTAGATTAAAGGAAACATTAGCCCAAGCTCATGTGGAGCTGAAAGGGCTGAATCGCAGACAACTGGCTCTGCAGGAGGAGATCCAGGTCAAAGAGAACACCATCTACATCGATGAGGTGCTGTGCATGCACACGAGGAAGTCCATCCCCCCGCGGGACGGGGACGAGCGTGCAGAGTGGGCCGGCGGCCTCCGCCCCGACGCTGTCTGCTGAAGGAGGCGTAGTTCAGGCCCTCATTAAACCATGTCATAAAACAGTAGTAGAGAACTCTCATGTCAGGGAGGCAGGACCTCCAGCAGCGCGCCGCAGCCGCTTGGCTGGAATCCCAAGCCTGCCCGGTTGCTGAGTCTGGGTGCACAGTTCTGTTCTGCTGCTGCTGCTGCTGTGGTTTAACAGTTAAATCCCACGAATTAGCACAGGCCATTCTCACCACGTCACATTAGACTTGCGGCCTGGGGGAAGGTTTAGTTCCTGGGGGAGACAGTTTAGTTCTGGTGCATTTCAATTCAGTAGTGGGGCTGCATCCCTTATTCAGACCATGCCCATCTGACTCTTGAGAGGGGATGCAAACGTTTCCCTTGGCTCTTACTATTTTTTTTTTCCTGGCAAACAGGGTGGGGACTGCTGACTTAGGCTCCTGGCTGGCCCATGGGGAAGCCTATCCAAGTCTTAGGAACACAGATGGGAGAGGAGCCATCCTGATCAGGAGGAATCCCGCTGGGCCTCCTTGTCCTGGGAGAATGAAGAGGCTGGGCCGGGACCAAAGGCCCTCCAGCTTCCCAGAGCCTGTCGGGGGTGGGCCCGGGTCACGGGGTTGCTAGGATGCTGTAGCATGGGGCACGGGGAGGACATTTCTGGTTCATAGGTGCAGCAGGCCCCGAAGGGCTCCAGTGGACACCCGTGTCAGCTGCGGGGTGGGCGGCTGAGGTGGGAGGAGCTCAGAGTGACACTCGGGAAAGGCTGGAGGCACCAGTGCCCCCAGGGCAAGGGTGCAGGCAGCTTGTGGAGGGTGCAGGCCTGTCTTCAGACCCCAGTGACTAGTCTCAGGGTCACCAGCCTGGGAGAGAGGAGGGGCCCGGCCTGGGCTCCAGCTGCTGGTAGAGCCCTTCCTCTAGCACCACCGTGTGGAGAGGCTTTCCGGATTATTTTTCTTTCCCGAATGTACACATAGTGAGAATTAGTAATCTATGAGAGTATTTTTCTAAAATAGGTATCAGGAAAGGAAAAGAAAAAAAAAATTACTCCATGGCTAAGAGTGTAGGTTCGGGGTTTCACATACCTGAATGCAAGTTCTCCGGTAGGACCGACCTCAGGTTACTGTGGGGTTGAATGGGCCATTTTTAATAGATCCCCTTACCTGCATGATTTCTGCACAGTTGTACTCAAGGCACAGGCTCAATTTTGTGTGATTTTCTTCCTTCATTGTGTATTGCAAGTCATTTTTCATGTTGCTATATCACTTTTATAATTAGTTTAATGATTGCAGGCCTTTTTAAAAATTTCACCAGGACTATTTCCATATACTTTCTATTTCTTGTCCAAAGAGAGTTGTGCTTATAGGTAGCTGCCTTCTGCTGAGTCACAGCTGCTCAAGAATACATCTGGCTGACTGCCAGAGGAAGACCTTTGCTGTGGGAAACTGCTCATCCGTTCCTCAGGGTGCTAACAGCGAAGTGCAGGCTCAGCACCTCAGTGTCCTTCTGTGTCCGGGGCCGCTCTGCGCTCTGCACTCGTTTGGTTTGCTGGGGCCTGTAGGACACCTGGTGGTGTGAGAGCACTGGAGGCCTGGGGTTAGGACCCCTGGATTCCAGTTTCGACACTGCCAGGAAAGCCCCTCCCCTCTTAGGGCCACATGTAAAGTGAGAAGAGGATCTTTCTAAGTGGCCCAGAACCCTTCCCATCTTTGACACTCCTGAATCCAGCTGCCTGGCTCCACATGTGGTGTCCTGAGTCACAAAGACAGTGTCGGCCGTGGGCCTGGCTCCTGGGAGGTTTACAGTCGACAAATCATAAACTCTAGAGACTGAGAGATCTCTGAAATAAAAGGTTTTATTGGGCTTTTACAGATAGATGCAGCCAGATAAGGACTGAGTACTGGGACAGGCAGTTTCTGTTTCACCAGTAGCAAGGCTGTTAACAGAAACAGCTTGTCTGCCAGACTCAAGAAACGGCACATTCATGAGGAGTCTAGCAGAAAGCAAGTTCACATGGGCTACAGATAAGGAAGGCGGGCTAACATGAAGTGGGGGTGATCCTGGGATAGGTGGACTGGTTGTTGATGATGGTCAGACATTGGTCACTTACCAGGGGGATGCGGTGGTCCTGGGGACCTTGTAGACATTTGTTGAAGTGACCTCATCCAGGAGTGTGGAGTTGGTGGTTAGCTCTGTCGTGTGGCTATTGACTGATGACCTTCCCCTGTCTCTCTCCCTCAATCCTCAGCCCTTATGTCACTTATAATTTAGGATGTTTCAGAATTTTTCTTGTCACAATCTATGTGCTCCTCAGTCCAGAGATTGCTGTCGGCAAGGGGTGTTCTTAACGTGGGAGGGAGAAACCCTCTTTGTGGCCGAGGGTGTCAACTTAATGTAGATCTGTACTGTGACCAGCCCCCCAGGCACTGAGCACTTCCACTCACAGGCTGGACCACATGCAGCCCCGCCAAGCCCCGACAAGCTGGGAAGCCCCTGCTCTCTGCCCTTGGGAAGTCTCTGGGTGCTCCTCTGTTCTGGCTTGGGAGGTCCAAGTACCTCTCCCCTGCACAGAGGGCAGACCTCAGAGTTTGTGCTGACTTAACAGCATTATGAGGCCGAAGAACTGGGTGTTCTTTGCAGACCCTTAGCTGGGTGCGGCATGTGGGACCCAGTCCTAGTCTCTTGCTCTGTGCTGGAGAAGGACAGGCATGGATAAGAAGGTGTCACACGTCTCCATCTAGCACTGGGCCTCTGAATGTGGTAATTGAAAAAATGAATACTTGTTAAACAATATGGGGTTTACCTCAATGTGGATACCTCATGTGTTCTGCATTTTATCACTAGGATTCTCACGTTCTTAAGCCTGCTTCAATTGCTTGGGAGAATGGGGAAGTCTGTAGTTTACTGTGTGGTTGCGGAATCTCTGAGAGTCCCTGAGACCTTTTCCCAAGGGGCTCATGGGGTCAAAACTGTTTTAACAACAATACCAGGTCCTCATGGGCGCTTTTTACTCTCATTCTCCCTAGTTTTCCGGAGGCTACATGGTGGGTAATCCTGCAGCAGATGGCAGCAGTGGGTGTGGGAGACCAGCTGTCCACTTTCAAGCCAGACATGAAGGAGATTTACGAAACTAAAATGATTCTGTTGTGGAAAACATGTTCATAGCAATGATATTTACATGAACATGTTTTCCATAAAAGAGTCCCCTATACTTAGAGGAGTCTGTGTTTGGGTCTGAATGGAAATGAAGCAGAAGTGGTCCATGCTGTGAATCATACAAATCAATAAGTTTTCCAGGTGGTCTGCATCCCAGTGAGGCTCCGCCGCACATGGAGCAGGCTGTCTCCTCTCTGGTTCACACTGGCCCCTTCCTGTCTGACCCTATTCCCCTCGCTAGCATCCAACTTTTCTGAATCTTAGTGAAACAGGAACTATATTTGCCCAACAGCACTGCAGGGATATTCAGATGAGATAGTGAATGTAGATGTGCTTTGAAAATGGAAAAACTCTGGGTGAATATGAACTTTAACAAAGGCTTAAAAACCTAAGCATAAATATGGACACAGCATACAAAAGGCAAGACAAAATCTGAAATAAGACATTTGTCAAAAGTATTGAGATTTTATTAACGTGTTGAAAACCCCTATATCTAACTATATGCACTAAAATCTCAAAAGACCAGAAGCAGTACATATCTATCACATGGGTGCAGGAATCTGTAATTACTCCCTGTTTAAAACCCACTAGAGTTCAGGGAAAGCATAAAAAGGGAAATAAAAGCCACCCATAATTCTACCACCCAGAGGTAACTGTTAACATTTTTGATATATCTCTTCTATGCTTTCTAAAAGAAAACCCATATATGTGTTTTTCAGGATTGATATCACACTAAATAAACAATTTTATGTCCTGCTTTTCTCACTTAACATTGCATTAGGAGTACCCCCCTGACATTACAAATTGTTCGTTAAGTGTGAGTGTAACAGCCACTTCGATTCAGCCCCACCCCCAATGACTGAGTGTTCACAGCAGGTTGGACACGATGCCACCGGTATGGGAAGATAGAAGAGACAACAGTAAAGAGGACACTGGGGACCTGGGGGCACACCACCTGTAAGTCAGGGGCTGAGTTCCATCTGTGGGAGGGAATTCAGCTCTGAGCAGGCTCCTTCTAAAAGTGGGCATTTCCCTGTTCCTTGGAGACATGCTGGTGCATTTCTATTCATCCGAGATCAGGCAGTGTCCTGAGACTGACATGAAGGTCAGCCAGGACAGGAAGTATTTCTGAACTGATGTCAGGAAAAAAAACTCAGTTTTGTTTGCTTCCTGACTAGTCCCGCCTTTTCCAGAGCACCCGTGAGCAGGAGTCAGAGTGCAACACTGCTCTGAGTGGCTTTGGGCTCTTAGCTTTATGGCTGAGTGTGGGCATCAAAAAACAAAACCAAATGACAAAACCAGAAATAGCCTCTGCATCGTTGGTAAAGATTGCACTTTAAGGCCACCTGGTACCTTCACATCACCAGCCGTCCCAGCTTTTGCTGGGGTGTTCATGTGGGTGTGGACTGGCAACAAGGAGAGGGAGAAGCAAGAGGGCTGTGGGAGGGGATGTCCCAAGTGTCTTTGGTGAGAACTGAGCTGTCAGGTTGGAAGTGCTGGCTGCCTCCTTCTGGAAGATGCTCACTACATCATGGGGTACACGGTGACAAAATAGTTAAGCTCTGAATCGATCAGCTTTCTGTACTTCCTGTAAATTTCCCTCAGCATCCTGTCCTCTTCATCCGTCTCATATCTGTTTGTATAAATTCTCACCTGTGCCAAGAGAGAAGCGCACCCATGTGCACACACCGTGACGGCACCATTCGGGTACTGAAAACAACCCGGTTGAGGTACACATACAGTTGTTGACATAATCAGGAAAAGCTCGAACCCAACTACCAAGGGAGAAAGCTCCAGATTCCCCTCTGAAATTAATTTCCAATGGACAGACAGGCAGATGGGTGTCCCCCACTCCTTGCCTCAGCTCTGACCTTTGTCCAGAAGCCCTATAGCTGGACATCTCCCACCCTGTGGCTGGACACCCGCACTCTATCCCCATGGAGCCAGCTGCACGGGACTCTTACCTTGAGCGTGTGCAGGGCACATTGGCCTTTCCTCTGACTCTTCAGGGTCCTCTCCACGAACTTAACATCAAGGAAAGCCCAGATTTTTAAGTAAAACAACTTCTTGCAGGATAAGATGAGGAGGTACAGCTCCTCATCCAGTGATTCATGGTTGTTGTTGAACTCAAAAGTTAATTTCTAGAAAAGCAGCAAAGAGGAAGCTGTGGGCAGACAGGCTGGGGCTGCCTGGATCATTTCAACATTTCCATGACCTGGCTTGGGGCCTGATAAGAATGGTGGGCCTTCCATAAGAAGACACTGGACATGTAGGTCTCAGAGGAGAAAGAGATTTGGGAATGAAGGTAATCTCATTCAAATTTGCAAAACTTGGAGCCTGGAGCCAATATATTTGGAGTCAGAGACCAACGTGCTGGCCCTAGCCCTGCAGTGGACAGGTGGGGTGACAAATTCAAGCACATGGAGAATAATGGCTTCTGCTGATCTACTATACTTCAGGGCTAGTAGCACTTGGAACCTCACTGGTAGTGGTATTTATATCATTAGTATCAGTTGTCACAACTTCTGTGAGGTCCTTAGGGACAAATGACCATGATTTTGAAGATGGGAAGCTGCCAGATTAGAGAACAGTCCACACCTCTGAGCTTTTCGGTGACTTAGGTCAGATTTAGCTTTTTGTCTGGTTTCCCACAGGCTGCTGCCACCCTGTGGGAAAGTGGGAAGGGGAGGCACACCTGCTACTCACCCAAAGAGCCACCTTCTTGCTCAGGCCTTGCAGTGTGAGCAGGGGATGTAGTTGGGTAACATCTCCCAGAACCCCAACTTGAGACTGAACGAGTGTGTGCAAGCATAGCCCCTTCCTCTGGGGAAGCCTGACCGAGAGGCAGTCACTCCCCGTGATTCCCCCAGCTCTACGTTCATACCTACCTTCAGAGTGTGCCGGAAGGTGGGCAGGAGATCCAGCAGAGTGGGCTTCATCGACCAGTCTGGGTCACTGAAATAGCAGCTTCTCAGACTTATGCTCCTGACAGGGATCTCCTGTAAGAGGATCCTGGCCAGGCGCTCATACGTCATGACCCACTCAAAGAAGAAGTTCACCTTCAGGTTAGTGGTGTGCCTGGCCAGCTTGGCCCAGGACATGCCCCAGATGACCTGCCTGTGGGGGTCATGAATGTGGCATTTAATGTACATGTTTCTGAGGGTACTGGCATTGTTCTCACTCAAGTTCTCCAGCAGCTCATCGGAGATGCAGTTGTAGTTGAGGGTCAGGGACACTAGGCCATGGAACATGGCCATGGTCCTATTGAACTGGGGGCTGCCATAGACAGCGAGGTGGTGGCTGAAGAAGTCCTCGATGTTGAGTTCTGACACCACACTTCTGCTCCTTAGAGAGCTCAGGGAGTTGAGCACATGGCAGCCTTGCTCCAAGGTCAGCCTGGCCCCTTTCAGGTTGAGACGATCCAGGTGTTTGCCCATTTTCTTTAAGAAGAAGCTTAAGCTTTTGATGAATGACCTCCTTACGCTGTTTCTCCAGACCAGACGGTCCAGCTCCAGGTGCTGAATGGAGAGAGATTTCAGACCCTCATTACACTTGCCCAGACATGAGAGAAGGCCTCGCATGGTGATCTGGAACTTCTTGGTCAAGAAAACGTTGTAAGGATGCAAGAATTTGATCTCCAGATGCTCCAGATAATGGCCAAATTTCTTAACATACCAAACAGCAGACTCGTATTCGGATGCATGCACTTTGGAGGGCCTCCCGCTGAATGTGATGGTCCTGTATCGCCAGAGCTCAGCTGAATACATCGTCTGGTTCCACTTTCTGCAGACAAGGGCTGCCCTGGACCTGTCCCTGTCTCCCAGCCACCAGAAAACACGACACAGGCATACATCGGGCAGAGTGGCCCAGTAGCTCTGATCTGGGGGTTGGAGCAGTTGGCTTTCTTCATCCATCAAGGAACCAGATTGTCCAGTGAGGCTGTGCGGTAGGCAGGGCTTCCAAAAATGGGGGATGAAAGGCAATCACTTGTTTTCTGTGGGGAGTAAAAAGGAAAAACCATTAGCTGCCAAACGGAAATTAAACCCAATTAAACAAATTTGCCCTGTGGCCACAGGTGTGGCAGGTGCCGTGCTGGTGCAGTGGTTAATAAGATCACCATGCAGTGCACACCTGCGAGGAGTCCCTGCCCACCCCCAACACAGTGGGAGACGTGCAAAGGTTGGGGCATGTTCATGGCACAAATGGGAAGATGAAGTCTGTCTGGAAAAGGATGAAGTAGAGAGGGCTGCTCAGAGGAAGTGGCATCTGAGCAAGGTTTTGCAGGGTGAGTGGGATTCATAGAGCAGACCAGGTCGGCACAGTGGTGGGAGAAGAGGAAGTGATGTATTCCAGGCAGAGAAAACAAGATGAGCGAAGTCACAGAATGGTGACGGTAAATGCTGTCTTCACGGTCAGGGAGCTAAACATTATTTGGAGTGATGTAACTGGAACTGGAGCTGGGGCAGTGGGTGGTGCTGTGCCAAGGGCCCTGAATGATGTGATGAAGGCTGTGTCCCAAAGCCCGGGGAGTCCCACTGTCCCCCTTCCCAGGACTTTGGGATGTCAGGATGATGGGTCCCCTTGCCAGATTGAGAACCACTGTCCACATTGAGCTGCGTTGATGGAGGCTGTGCTCATGTTCAAAAGGCACAGCAGCAGCACAGAAGGGTGGGGAACCTCTGCTGAGGTCACAGGTGCCCAGGGAAGGTCAGCGGGTCACTCATCTGGATGTGCTGTGCTAAGTCTTGAGGTACAGAAAGGCCACTCCAGGGGAGGGGAGGAAGGATGGTCTGCAGCAGAGTCCAGCCTGGAAGCCCAGGACTAGGGCGGCGTTACAGTGGGAATGGGGTGGGTGTGGGAGTTCTTAGGAGGACATGATTTGAGAACTGGAGAATGTAGAATTGGGAGTACTGGAGGGTCTCTGACTTGGCTGTTGGATTGTAGGTGGTCCCCCCAGTCAAGATAGGGAGGTCCAGCAGGTGCTAGGTGAAGGCCTGCCTGATACACTGAGCCCTCAGACTTCTTACAGCCATCTGCTGAAATCTTCATGCCTTTTTGCTTTCAGTGTTTCCCCTGCCTGAAAACTGCCCTTTTCCCCTTTACCTCTCCCTAATCTCTACTCTTCAAGGGTCAAGCCCTGCCACTCTATAAAGCTTTTATTGACTACTTTACCAAGTGGCCCCGGATTACTGGTTATGGCTATTAAAAACCCAACCATGGAAGATATCTGAGAATTGATTTATTTATGGGAATTGAGGCCCAGAGAGGTGAAAGGGCTGGCCTATGATCACACAGCAAGTTAGTAACAGGGTGCAGACTAGAACCTGGCTTCCTGACTCTTTCTCCTGTACTTTTCCTCCACCTGCACAGGTGGTAAGCCTCAGGGGCTGAGGGACAAGTTAATCATATTTCCCAATTCAGGACAGATGTTTGTCTGGGAATGACCTCTCTTTGGTTGAATTTATTCATTTATTTCCTTTGACCTCTATGTCCCACTCCTTTGCCCCCCACCATAGGCAGCGCCTTTGTCCTCACCATCCCATGTACTTCCCCTGACTGCCTGCAGGACAATTTGGCTCCTGTCTCTAGCTGGCATTCCCATGTCCAGAGCCAGACAGATTTCCACACGGGATCTGGCAGCAGCCTGCCGCCAGCAGGGACGCAGGGCTCTGGTGACTTCCCACAGTTGCCTCTGTCTTTCCCCTCACGCTAGTGTCCTTCCCATATTTGGACCTTCATCCAAACCTTTCCCTTCCATGGGACCCACACAGCCCTTGAGACCAGGGACAACCTTATTCTTCTTTTGAGTCAGTACTTAAAGATTTAACAAAGGAAGAATTAGGGCTGTCTTTTCAGTCAGAGGCCTCCCACAGTACTTAGCATGGAGCCAGGTGCTTGGAGAAAAAAACAGTTTGGAAGCTAAACAAAACCCTTTGCCCCAGCAAAGTCACTAGTCAGAATGCTCAGACACGTCAGGTAGGTTGGGCTCGGAGAGTTGCTGCAAGTAATCCAAGTCACGTGTCATTACTGGACGCACTGTCTGCTCCCCTGAGACTCCCCACCAGTCAGTGGCAGGCTGCGTAGCTCGGTGGGCTGCATCTTTGTTCTGCCGTTGCTATGTGTGACCTTAGGAGATTTAATTAATTTATTCATCTTACTGTCCACATCTGTAAATAGGGGTGATGATAGTACCTTTCCCCTAATATTGGGCGGACTAAATGAGCTGATATATGGAAAGTATCAGAACAGTGCCTGGCACAGTCAGTGCTATACAGATACAAGTGTTTGCTGCCATCAGGAAGTTGGTGCCGAGGTACTTCTGCAACATCCCGTATGGAAGGTCTGAACACATCCATTTGGGAAACAGAGGTGTTGGGAGGTTAAGACAGAGTCCCAGGGAACTCAAATAATGTGTGGGGAGGTGGGATTCGAACCCACACTGTCTCTCAAACCAGGGTTGGCACACCGTATCACAAAGCGGCCAACAGAATATCCATCACCCGGGGCTGGGGAGGTGACTGGGAAGCTCTCGCCGCCAAGGACGCCCGCTTGCAGGAGGAGAACGCGGGGTGAATGGTCCACCCCGGCCTGCCCCGCCCGCCCCGGCCTGCCAGTTACCCACTCGCAGCAACCCGCTCGGCATGCGCCCTTTCGGGCCGCAAGGGCCCTGGGCGCGCCTGCCTGCTCCGCCCGCGCGCGCCGCCTCTGCCCCAGCGCTGACTCTGCAAGCGCCCGGGGTGGCGCGCTGCCCTCGCGGCTGCTGCATACCGAACAGCGAGCCGCCTTTGTGACGTGCCGCCCCACCTTCAGGGCTGAGCTGGGCGCAGGGGCCCAACCCCGGAGGCCCGGGTCAGGCCTCGTGCGTGTAGGGCTCAAGGCAGCCGAGACGCTCTGGCCCGGGAGGCGGGGACAGGCCCGCCGAGTCCGCCACCTTTCCGGTCCTGACCCAGCCCCGGGTCTAGTCGAGGTCTCCTCCTTCGGAAGCCGCCGCTGCGCGCTCGACCACCGCTTCCACCCTCTCCAAACTACACAGGGTCCCCAAGGAAAGCCCTGAGCAGAGACGACTTATCCGACATGATAGAATTTGGGAACTGTCACAACTGTCCAGTTTCGAGAGTGAGAGACGCACCTGGTCCACCCGTTTTCCTTGGCCCTTCCCTCCAGGGGCCGCTACCCAAACGGGTCTCCGCAAGAGCCAAGCAGAAAGGCAGGGATGGCCTCTTGGCCGGCAGACAGGCTGCGTCTCTGGGCTTCTCCCCGCCCCTCTCCCTGCCTACGGCCTTCAAGTGCACCCCGGTTCCCTCACCTGGCCCTTGTCTACATTGCAGCCTTCCTCCCCGCCCCCCCTCTCCCATTTCTCTTTTATGCCTTTACCCCTTCCCTGGGCGCTGCCTCACCCTGCTGTCCTAGCTGCCGCCATCCCTCACCCCCGGAACACCAGTGAGGAATGTAAGGAAAGGTGAATGGAAGCTCTCAGGGAGGGTACTTTTGTTCTTCAGAGACAAAGCTGGGTGTCTAGGCTGTGGGGCCTAGATTTTTGATCAGAATTCTCAGGTGGAAAAGCTGGAGCCCTTTCTTCTGTTTCTCTGTAGCTCTTGGGCAAACCAATATCTCTGTTCAAAAGAAGGATGATAGTTAAAATCCAAGTCTTTTCTTCTAAAAGAAAGAAACCCAAAGAATAAAACCCATGTCTTTTCACATGTAAAGACTGCACAGAAAGTAAGCTTGAAAACCAGTGTAAAAATAGTCTTCCAAATCTGTACCTTTTCTTTCCCAAATCTAGCTGAAATTTCTCACTTGCTTTCCTTCTAAGGAAGCTAACTGCCAACATTTCTCCTAAAGAAACAGATAATTTATAAGTTTGATGTGTGTAAAGTAGGAAGTGTTAGTTGCCCTGGACTTTGCTGTTCCCAGTTCCCAGAGCCTGAAATCCTGGACTACAGATGGCATAGCAAACGCATGGAACCCAGTCCAGCTTGGGACAATGTTTAATAGAGGCCTGTCATCATCAGGTGGTGGATGAACTCTTATGCAGCCATTAAAAAAATGAGCCACATCATTTGACTTGGAGGGATATCCTTGGGTATTGCTGAATCATAACAGTAAGATGCAAAGAAATGTGTATAATCGAACTCCAAATGTGTATGTTTGTATGTGTTTGTATAATGGGGTTGTCAAATAAAATCCAGGATGCCCAGTTGTGTTGTAATTTCAGAGAAACAAACAATATGTTTTTTAGTTGAAGTATGTCCCATGCAATTATTTTGTAATTAGTTTTGACCCAAGTAATATATTTTTATCTGTTAAATCTGGCAACCCTATTATATAAGCATGGAGAAAGTGTGGAAGTAAGCCACAAATTGTGAGAGACAAGGGCATATGGCACTAATAGCACCCCAAGCAAGTATGAAATTCATCCATCTTTGTAAATTACATACTCGTATGCATATAAAGATGCCTCAAGCAGTTAGATAAAAAGATTTAGGGCTGTATTTTTGTGAAAAGTGTACATTATATATTAAATGAAAAAGGCACATGGCAGAGTAATGAGTACAGTAAGATAATAAAAAAGCAATTAAAACTCCATGTATGCTTGTTCAGGTTTGTGTGAGCAAAGGTAAAGCTTTGAAAGGATACCACTAGGCTACTGAAGTTGGTATCTCAGGGCCTGCGACTGGGGAGGCAGTCGGGGAGGATTAGCTTTGTTTTAATGTGTCTTTGCACTGCTTTATGTCCGCTGGTTAAAACAAAATCTAGTCTTTCATATTTTGAAAAACATCAAATAATGATAGCATTTTTTTTTTAAAAAGAGGCATCCAGTTTGGAGTTTACAAGTGTAAGCTTTGGAACTATATATGTAAGGATTCCAGGCTGGATTCTTCCACTCTGTAATTGTATAATCTGGGGAAGCTACTTGACTTCTCTGTCTGGTTTCCTAGGGATAAAATCTGTAAAAGAGGGGTAAAATGCCTGTCTATTGTTTATAATGAAGATCAACCATTTGAAAAGGGCTTTGAGTTGTCACTGGCACTTAATGGTTGACTACTGCTGATACTAATTCTTATTATTACTAGAAAATAATCTAGGATGTACTAATACTCAGGATATTAAAGGAAATGGCTGCAAACCCTCATCTGCCAGAGGCAAGCTACCAGCTGACTTAGGATCTTGACCAACATTCTTCTGATATCTGGGTCTCAGTTGCCCTATCTGCACCCTGAGAGAGCTAGGCTGGATGCCCTTTGCTTCATTTATTAATTCAGCAGTCTTGGAACACTTGCTGTGTGAGTGTATCAGTCCCTGGGCTAGGAGCTGGAGATGCAGAGTTGAAAGATACAGCTCTGCCTTCAAAGGCAGCCCAGTCTGTGAGAGATCATGCCAATAAACCAGGTGGTAAGGGCTAGGAGACAGTGCATTTGGGCATACAGAGAGGTGAGGATAGGAAAGGGCCTTTCCAGCAGCAATCCTACAGGTCTTGGATATCATTAAACACTGCCCAGATGGTTCATGGCCAGGGGAGAGAACAGAGGCTGGGTACCTGATGTTGATTTAGGATGGGCAGGGGAAGTAGGGTACCACACTGAGAGCATCTCCTCAGAATGTTGTAGGCTGCCTCATCTTCTCCAGGGGAGGTGACCCTGGGCTTGTGCTCTCACTTCAAGGGCAGATCCATGGTTTTGGTTGTACCTCTTGGTGCTTGCTTTGTTGAATTTTCAGAAAGAAGAGGAAATCTGTGTCTATTTTTTGTGTTTGGATGGGCATCTTTCTTTGCTCTGGAAGTTTGATCCTTAGCAGCTTGACTTGGAAGGGATAGAGGAGGAATTCTTGGCTTCTAGTTGGCAAATATTTCTTAGACTTTGAGATAGTATAACATTCATCCTGTAATTGTGAGTAATACATCAAATTGAAAAAATTGCTTTAGTTTTAATGGTTGGACAATATAGCAGACTAGATAACCTGAATGCTTCCCCCTGTGAACTTAGAAATGTTGGATAAAGTATGACAAACATGCTTTTGTTGACTTTGTAAGAAAGAAAGAAAGCCCCATGTTCCAGGAATGAAGAGCTGGCCTGTTAAGTACATGAGCTGACACTTTGGGAGGAGATGTGGGGTCAGTCCTGTAACTAAGGGCTTGGATGAGAGGAAAGTCCCAACTGTACAAGATGGGGAACAGAAACAAGATTCCCTTCACTTCTGTAAAGCTGGGAACCTTGAAGGCTAAATTACAGTGGCTAAGAGAAAAGAACTAGCTAATCAGGAACAGAAAGTGGCAGTGAAACTCGTCTATCTTGGGTTGGAATTTGAATGTGGGGAAGAAAAACTCATGCTCCTGAAAATTCAAAATCACAGGCTCATGATATTCTTGTATTTGGGGTTCAGACTTACATTAACCTCATGGTCTGGGACTACCTAAGCAGAAGAATTAACATAAAAAATTGGTAAGTCTGGCAGAAGCAATCACAAAAGCCTTCTGGAGCGTACATAACCTCAAACTAGGTCATACAAGATTCTTACAGGTAGGGTCCCGCCCAATAGAAACTCGCAGTTCAAACTTAAAAGGAAAAAATCTTTCTTGAGTAAGAGTCATAGATACAACCAATAGCAGGATTAGTTTCAAGAAGTTCAGATGGTAGAACTATAGGACAGATGCTGTAAAATTAATTAGAAACAAGAGAATGATTAAACATTAAAATAAGATAAAGGATTAAGATCTTATGAAAAAGGAATTTGAAGGAGCAACAAGTAGAATAGTTTAATGGGTGGGCCAAAACCAGCAGATTAGATGGTCCAAGAAAGAATGAATAAACATGAAGGTAGAGTTGAGGAAGTTACCCAGAATATAGAAGAAGGAAATAGAAAATGTGAAATGTTAAGAGACATGAAGCTAGAACAAGGCCTAATATACATCCAATATATTCCACAGAAAGACTTGGGAGAACATGGGATAGTTAGGGAGAGTTAGGGATACCAAGAGATTAGAGCTAAGAAATTCTCAGAACTGATTAAGGACATAAATCATTAGATTCAGGCAGAAAAATCCTGAGGAAAAGAGAGAGAGAGAAAGAAACACATTCGAGCATATTGTTATGAGCATATGAACAAAAATAAACCCCCCTCTTTTGATTTGAGGCCTTTGAGAGTTTGAGACTGTTGCATGTGGGTGCAGCTTACAGATACATTGCAGTGAAACCACAGGAAATGGGAGGCAAGAATTTTGAAATCAACCAAAAAGAAAGGTGCTATGCAAAGGAATGTCCACTACACAGAAAGCATACCTATCAACAGCAGTCACAGAGGTAGTAAGATGGTGCAGTAATCTTCAAAATGTTAAGAGAAAACTGTTAACCTAGAATTTGATAATCAGCTAAACTACCATTCGAGAATAGAGAAAAAAGAAGTATATGTTCAGGCAACTAAAGACTTACTAGTCATAGGTTCTTGCTGCAGAAACTACTGAGAAACCTATTTCAGGAGAGAAGAAATCTTACCCAGGAGGAAAGCTTGGGACTCAAGAAAGAATGGGAGCAAAGAAAAGGGCAAATGTGAGATAATATCTGAAGAAGCATGAATTGCATAAAGCAACACTATTAATGACTAAAGACGGGTTATATGAAAACAAGGTGGAACTAATGCACAATATAGTGATTATAGCCAATAATACTGTATTACAAACTTTAAAGTGGCTAAGTCTAAATCTTAACTGTTCTATAAAAAAGAAATGGTAAGTATGTGACATGATAAAGCTAATGCTATGGTATATATTGCTATATATGTATATATATATTACATTGCAATATGTAAATGTATCAAATATGTATACCTGAGACTTATATGGTGTTATATGTCAATTATACATCAATTAAAAATATTGTAATGAACAGCAAAAAGAAAGAAAATTTCCTCAATCCAATAGAAGGCAAGAGAGGAAAAAGAAATAGCAGTAGTAATGAGCAAGCATAGCAAATTGAAGGCTCCAAAAAAGGTGGTAAAAAAGAGTTTTATTGCTAATATTGTTGGGAGTGATAAAGGCACTGTAGTTAAGTAAGAAAATGACTATTTTTAAGATGTGTATTAAAGAATGATGGGTGAAATGACAGGATATCTTGGATTTGCTTTAAAATACTTCAGGATTAAACAAAAAAGGAAAAACAACAAAAGGGTAGATAAAGAAAATATTGAAAATGTTTGGTTATTGTATCTGGTGATTAATACATAGGGTTTTTTATATTAGCTCTCTACTTTCGTATTTGAAAAATTTTGTAATACCATTAACAATTTTAAGGTAGTAGATAGACTCTATAGCTGTCCAAGCTGTCATTTCCAGACATACAGGACTGAAAAATTAGCCTCTCATGCTTTCTTTCTCAAGAAACTATTCAAAGATATGCTCTATGAAAGAAGGAGTAAACCAGAAAGAGAAAGACCTGAACCTGAAATTTGGGGAACAGAACTCCCAACCCTGGAGAGAGTGGACAAAATTTCCAGAATGACAGCTACTCATCAGGCCTGGGGAGCAACATGCCCCATAATGAAATGAATAGATTACCTGATGTGTTTGATTGTACCAAGGTCAGGGGTCATTTTCAGATCTGGAAGAAAGTTTTAGGGATAATTTAGTGATGGATATGTAGAAATTGAAGCAAATGAAAAATTAAAGCAATTATTAACTCCAGGAAGAACAAAAAGCTGCAGAAGAAAGCAAATGTAATTGTAATTTGTGTGGCATAGCCATTTATAATATTTACGTTGTCTTTATAATGTAACACTGAATATTGATTGAACCACAATGGATGATATCAATAAATTGGGAGGATGGAGAACAGAACCTTGGAAGCATGTGTAGGATAAATGGCATAAGAAAGTGAAATCCATATCCCCAAATCCTTATGATAGTATATAAAATTCAGGAAAAAGGAATTGCAGTATAGGATGATGTTTGAAAAATATGGATCTAAGTATCAGAAGAAACAGCTAAACGTAGATTTTGTGTCTGGAGAGCAGTTAGCATAAAGGGGAACAATGGGCTTGTTTAACTGGAGTGGACACAATTAACAATGGCCATAAGAAGTAAATTATCTAAGTGTAGAGGTGTCTTGGTTATCAGTCTGGGTGTTTTGATGGGGAGTAGTCAGTTACTCTTTCATTTTTGCACTCATCAAGTATCTCTGATTCAAACTCAAGACACTTGTGTGACAGAATAAGCAAGCCCTTCTGACTAGCACGTGGGGAACAGGAGGCCCTGTACCCCTTTGTTAAGCTAGTTCTCAGTTGTTCCCCAACTTGGGGGAGAAAGGATAGGGCAGGTGGAAATCCTGTCCCTCTCTCTGCTCTCACGTTGGCTGCTTTGCTGTAAAGGAGACTCACACTTGACTCTCACCTCATGAAACTCCAGGCAGTCCTCTGGCATGCCCTGCTGTCTCTTTGCATACTGCACCTAGACCGAAAAATGTGGATCCCAGCACCTGCAGTCTTCCATGACATCTGCCTGGGCTCATGAAGTTTAAGTTTAGGTCTGTGAGCTCCTCGGGCAGGGATCAGGCATGGTTACCTGGGTAGCCTTGTAGCCCCAGCCCAGTGTTCAAGAAGTACTGGTGGGACCCATTGAGTTGAAACAGATGCCTTAGCTTGGGGATCTCCAGAAAGACACACAAGGGGCCCACAGGGGTTGACATGAAGAAGCAAGAAAGGAAAGTCAGCCATTGACTGACCTTGGCCTTGACTGTCTCCTGGAGCTTTCCTTTCCTACTTTCTGTCTTCACAAATCTCAAAAGAACATTCAATCTTTCCTGAACCAGGGACGCCTTGCCTTGGCTGCACCCATAATCCTGTAGGGAAAGGACTAGGAAGGGTAAACCAGACATAGGCTCAGTTTAGCATGAAAAAGGCAGAAAGAGTTTCCACTTCACAGTATCTGGCAGGGGCCACATGACTTGCACATGGCAGCCAGACCAGCTGCTGCAGTGAGGACAGACTCCAACTCAGCCCGGTGCTCCCAGCTCTGTCCCTCCTTTGCTCCTTACCTGCCAGCTTTCTTCTGTGTTCAGCCACCTTCGCCTGCAGGAAGGGGTTCTCACACCTGGAGCAGACGACAAGGAGGGGCAGCTGGGCAGAGGGCACACTTTTTTGGCTGCAGGATCAAACAGGAAGAAAATATTTCATGGTATAATACATGGAAGCATATTTCACCCCCAGGGCTACTGGATTATGATCTTTCAAGGCCTCCAGCACTGAAATTATGAAGATGACTACCTGTTCCCTTTCCTCACGTTGGTCCCAAATCAGAACAATGCAAAATCGTAAAGTAAGTGAGAAGCTGCTCTAGACAGGGCGAGTGGGGTGGGCGAGAAGGAGCCGGAGGAGAGATTACCACTGCTGGGGGAGATGGACAGGCTTATTATCTTGGTTATGGTGATGGTTTCATGGGTTTAAACATGTGTCACACGTGTCAAATGTGCACATTAGAAATGTCCCACAAATGCAGTTTATTCTATGTTAATGATACCTCAGTATAGCTGTTTCGAAATGGAAATAATGATCTTTCAAATATTTTGTCCTACTTCAAGTGCTCCCCTGCTCAGCCCACAGCTGGTTGGGAATACAGGCCTGCCAAGCCCATGCTTCCTGCAGGGGAAATGCCTGCTTCCAGAAGCTCCACAGCAAGAGCTCCCCAAACCCTGCGGAGGGCCGTCCACTTACTTCCCACCTCCAGGCTCACCCGTGCAACCCACAGAGATGCCCCGAGTCCCTTCTTGGAGACCCCAGAGAATGCAAGCGTCTGAGCTTCCCAGTTCTGGAGCAGCATTTAACTCTCTTTGTCACCAAGGAATGCCCCCTTTCGCTTCAATCAGCTCGTGCTTGTGGCACCTCGGGGGCAGGGAACGCAGGAGCTGTAGCCCCGGAGGACCGAATGATGACGAGAGTTGCAAACCCAAGTCCCTGCCCACGGGATGCGGCCAGAGAGCAGGACCGGAGCCTCCCTCCTATGGCCGAACCGGATTCTGGCTTCAGCGCAGCCCACAGAGGGCACATGGGCAGCATCACCTCCCCTCTCTCCATTCCTGCCAGTCTGCCGGCTTGGCCCCTTTCCCCTCTGCTCCACCTGCTCTGTTACCTCAGCTTTTCTTCCCGAGCTGGTTCAGACACCAGAGAGCCAGCTGGTCCGGCTGGAGCAAAGCTCTCCGGGGAGGATCCACCCTGGTCCCAGCCTCAGGTGGGGAGGTGGAGGGGGAGGCGAGGTCCTGGCCCCTGCTCCGTCCCAGTACCCACTCAGAGCTCCCTCAAGGTGAGGCTGGGGGGCCCTGGAGCATCTCCGGGGGCCCCTTTCTTTCAAAGACTGGTGTGAAAACCATATGATTGGAATTCCAACTTAGGATCCAAGGTCTGAGAAGTGTGACTAGCCCAAGCAGGAACAATTAGGCTGGCTATTTGCTTTAGGACTGTCCGAGAAAATCCCAAACGTCTCCGGGGAGAGGATTGAGTTCAGCGATGTTCATGCTGCCTGCCTATCATCATCTCTGAGGTCTACTGAGTCTCAGCCTGCCTACCCTGGGGACCCCGGCACCCACGCTGTCTCTCCTCACATCGCTCGTATACACGCACGGCCCCTTTTCGCCTCACTTGGGAAACAGGATTATCCTGTCTGCGCCTCTCACCAGCTAGCCCCAGGAGGCCGCTAGAGACAGCAATTTCTTACCCTTTCCTGCAGAACTGCAGTTCTCCTTCCATGTTATGGTTTCCGGAGTCGTCCTGTGAGTTTCGGCTCTTGCAGACACAGTGAGTTTCGGCTCTTGCAGACACAGAAACAAAACTGAGTGTTTAGCAACCCTGCCCACAGCTCCAGGGAGGGGGTAGTTTCCAGAATTTCCAGCCCAGGGCTGCCCCACGGTTCCTGTGGTGGGCGCTCCCAGGAAGCCCCTCAGCAGCAGGAGCAGCCCAGCCTGCCCCTGCCCCCTCCTTGGGTCTGTGCTGTCACCCTGAGCATTTCTGACCCAGAGGGTGGGAGCAAGAGACCAGGCCTGCCTGGGGCAGCAGCCCCCCCTCCCCACCTGGCTGGCCTCACTGCATCCAGATCTCCATCCACTCCCACAAAACACGGACCTCCGCTGTTCCCCCTGCTCCTCTTGCGGGTCCTTCCTCTGCAGGAGAGAGATGCTGAACTTGAAGCTGCTCCCTGAGGGCAGCTCCTGGGCTTCCTGCACCCTGATCTCATCCTGGTTGCTTGTGACTTGGAAAACAGGGCCTAGGAGGAACTGGGGAGGCAGGGGTGTGTGTGCCAAGACTGCAGGTGTTGGGGCCACACCACTTGGCAGCTTGGTGACCTAGGACAACCGCCTATCTCCCTGAACTTCTCTTTCCTCATTTGTGAATTATTACAGGCATGCCTTGTTTAATTGTGCTTTGTTTAGTTGCACTTCACACATACTGCATTTTTTACCAATTGAAGGTTGGTGGCAACCTTGCATTGAGCAAGTCTATCAGCACCATTTTTCCAACCGCTTTGCTCACTTGGTGTCTCTGTGTCACATTTTTGTAATTCTCGCAATATTTCCAACTTTTAAATTATCTTTTACGGAGATCTGTGATCAGTGATGATGACTCTCTGAAAGCTCAGATGCTGGTTAGCATTTTTTCAAGGTGAGGCTGGGGGGCCCTGGAGCATCTCCGGGGGCCCCTTTCTTTCAAAGACTGGTGTGAAAACCATATGATTGGAATTCCAACTTAGGATCCAAGGTCTGAGAAGTGTGACTAGCCCAAGCAGGAACAATTAGGCTGGCTATTTGCTTTAGGACTGTCCGAGAAAATCCCAAACGTCTCCGGGGAGAGGATTGAGTTCAGCGATGTTCATACTGCCTGCCTATCATCATCTCTGAGGTCTACTGAGTCTCAGCCTGCCTACCCTGGGGACCCCGGCACCCACGCTGTCTCTCCTCACATCGCTCGTATACACGCACGGCCCCTTTTCGCCTCACTTGGGAAACAGGATTATCCTGTCTGCGCCTCTCACCAGCTAGCCCCAGGAGGCCGCTAGAGACAGCAATTTCTTACCCTTTCCTGCAGAACTGCAGTTCTCCTTCCATGTTATGGTTTCCGGAGTCGTCCTGTGAGTTTCGGCTCTTGCAGACACAGTGAGTTTCGGCTCTTGCAGACACAGAAACAAAACTGAGTGTTTAGCAACCCTGCCCACAGCTCCAGGGAGGGGGTAGTTTCCAGAATTTCCAGCCCAGGGCTGCCCCACGGTTCCTGTGGTGGGCGCTCCCAGGAAGCCCCTCAGCAGCAGGAGCAGCCCAGCCTGCCCCTGCCCCCTCCTTGGGTCTGTGCTGTCACCCTGAGCATTTCTGACCCAGAGGGTGGGAGCAAGAGACCAGGCCTGCCTGGGGCAGCAGCCCCCCCTCCCCACCTGGCTGGCCTCACTGCATCCAGATCTCCATCCACTCCCACAAAACACGGACCTCCGCTGTTCCCCCTGCTCCTCTTGCGGGTCCTTCCTCTGCAGGAGAGAGATGCTGAACTTGAAGCTGCTCCCTGAGGGCAGCTCCTGGGCTTCCTGCACCCTGATCTCATCCTGGTTGCTTGTGACTTGGAAAACAGGGCCTAGGAGGAACTGGGGAGGCAGGGGTGTGTGTGCCAAGACTGCAGGTGTTGGGGCCACACCACTTGGCAGCTTGGTGACCTAGGACAACCGCCTATCTCCCTGAACTTCTCTTTCCTCATTTGTGAATTATTACAGGCATGCCTTGTTTAATTGTGCTTTGTTTAGTTGCACTTCACACATACTGCATTTTTTACCAATTGAAGGTTGGTGGCAACCTTGCATTGAGCAAGTCTATCAGCACCATTTTTCCAACCGCTTTGCTCACTTGGTGTCTCTGTGTCACATTTTTGTAATTCTCGCAATATTTCCAACTTTTAAATTATCTTTTACGGAGATCTGTGATCAGTGATGATGACTCTCTGAAAGCTCAGATGCTGGTTAGCATTTTTTAGCAATGAAATATTTTTTAAGTAAGATATGTACTCTTTTTTAGATGTAATGCTATTGTGCACTTCATGGACCACAGTAGGGTGTACATGTAACTTCTGTATGCATGGGGAATCCAAAAAGTTCATTTGACTCGCTTTATTGTGATATTCACTTTATTGCAGTGGTCTGGAACTGAACCCATAATATCTCCAACATACCTTGTACAGCAAACACTACTGAAATGCTAACCAGGTGACAGGCAACTGAGGAAGCTTTTATTTTCATCAACCCCGTCTTCTGATAAAGAAATGGAGGCACAGAGGGGTAAGGGAATGTGCACAGTCAATTGGCACAGAATCAGGCTTTGAGTCCAGGCAAAGTAGCCTCCAGGAATGGTCAGGGGGTCAGGAGATCTGAGTTAGAATCCTGACAGTGCAATTAACCAGCAGCCCAAGTCACCTTAGCCTTTTGGGACTCAGCTGGGGACCTAGGAGACTTGAGTGCAAGTGGTCCCAGAAATTGTGTCCACAAGAGCTTTCGTGCAAGTCTGGGCCTTTTCCTGAGGAGAAGACAACACTTTTAGTGGATGCGCCAAAAGAAGTCTACACACAGTTGTAACAACTGGACAAATGGACCCAAAGGTTTGAGATACAAAGAAATTAAGTTCTGTTAAAGGCAACACGTGTCCAGATTATATAAGCTTAATTGAATCCAGTGGATATAGAACATTTATTTGGGTACTTGTGTTCTTTTCACAGGGAGAAGCAGGGTACCAACACTTAGATAAATAAAAATGATGAAATATTGTATCTAATAGCTCAGTGGGAATTGAAAAATTTGCAAATGACTACAACTCCATTAGACACATTTGGATATTATATACTTCATGTTACATTTTTAAGGCACTTAATGTGTATTTCTGGTATTCATTATGAATAATGTTATTCATTAAAAATCAGGAATATTCTTCATTAAAAATAAAACCCATCTGTGGTTAGCTTCAATATTCACCCATTATTGTTTAGAAGTACAATTAAGATACTAGCAGGTAGTTGGAGAATTTTGATTGTGGTTTTGCACATTTGTGTAAGCATTTTAATTTATTTCAACTTTAGGGAGCACACTGTTTATGCAACTTTATAATAGCTGATAATGTTGAGTAGCTTTTCACTAATCCATGAAGAATTTCTTCTTCATGTTCAGAGTATCAGAAATCAAATAGAGATCACTGGGGTGAGCATGGGTAATAATGACTCAGAGCACTTAGCGTGGGCCTGGCTGTCTTCTGGGGCTCTTGGTGCTGGGTGGGAGGACAGTGGCTTCCAGTCTGGTCCACACATTGGAATCACTGGGGAACTCGCAGAAAACCACTGATGCCTGCCCATCCCAGGGGCATGTCGTTTCACTGGGTCAGCACGTGGCCAGGACTTTGGAGGTTTTGAGAGGCCCCAGGTGATTCTAACTTGCAGAGAATTCGGGAGCCACTGGTACAGGAGGAATAGGCTGGTTCTGAGATCCAGGGCGAGCACTGTGACTCAAGCCTTGGCCCTTGGCTTTCACATCTGAAGAATAAGAGGGTGGGGGCAGACAGCTTTAGTGGGGATTCTGGAAGTAGGGATGTATCATGTGGGGACAGACACTTGGGGCTCATGGAAGAAAGACCAGGGCTGGGTTGCTGCCAAGGAGAGAGCTGGGATCAGTGGGTGGAAGTCCCAGGAGGTCCCAAGCTTCCTCCAGGTCACTTCCTGGACCCTGGGTGAACTGCCAGCGATGGAGGGGACCTGGCCCCAGGAGTGAGGCTTGGGACTGGGGTCTAGGATGCAGTGAGCTCCCAGCTCTAATGTCCCCCTGTGGGTGAGCTTGCAGGAAAGCCTACCTAAGCCCACCTTGCTGACAAGCTCTTCATCTGGGCAGCCCAGGCAATCATGTAGGAAGAGAAAGGAGAAGTGTGGTGGCCTGTGGGATGGGGGCCTTGGGGATGTGGGAACAGGAACAGAGGCTGCTTATGGCCCCTCATGCCCACTTGAGAGACCCACTCTAGTGTGTACCCCTCCTGGGGTCTTTAGAGCTTCCCCAGGCCCCAGAAACAGCTGTGCTAACAGCAGGACTCCCAGCCAGCCTGTTGAGGGAAGGCTCGAAAAGGCCAAGAGAATCTTGGGAAGTCTGCAAGGTGGTGGGAGCAGCCTCTCTGAGAGAAGAATGGGATTAAGAAAAAGGCCCAGATATGGGCTCCAGCCTCCCAGTAGATGCTAAAATTCAGGTACTGAATGAGAGAAGCATGCTGTGATTATAATGATCAAAGACATAGGCGGTAACAGCCAGTGAATGCTTAAACATTTTCTATGCTCCAGGCATTATGTAAACATTTTTCAGGCATTTACCTTTTTCAATCTGCCCAACAGCTGCTAGTGTAAGAATTGCACTAGAGAAATGAAGGCACAGAGAGGTTATGTACTATGCCCAAGGTCACACAGTGAATAGCAGAGCTGGGATTCAAAACAGGTTGATCTGATTCAGAGGTTTGATAGCTGGTGGGGGAGGAGGCACTGGTCCAGGAGGAGTCAGAGAGACCTGGGTTAGCACTGTGATTCCCTTCCTCATCAGCTGGGCAGGTTCCTTAATCCCTTTGACCTTTCCTTCCCACTCCTGGCTATCTGGGGAGGGGGTCTTATGCATATCAATAATAATGAAAGAACCTGACATTTCACACCTGTTGTCTCCTGCTGAGATCCTCAGAATTGGTGGTGGTGGTGGTGGTAGAGATGTACAAGGGGTGTTCATAGGTGAGACATCCTAGAACAAGAATAAATGTTGGGGGTGT